TCGGCGTCACATGGTCGAATTTTCGCTTATTGCGCACGAGTCGAGCAGCAGCGCTTTTACGGATTGCTGTTTAGTTAGTGCCGTGGTCGGAAGTCCATTAGGTGTGGCTATATAGTCCAATCTGGTCAGAACGAGCACAACCACGAGGGCCTCACGGACCGGCCTCGAGAGACTGCGGCTGACAGCACGTGTTCGTCACATAGCGCCAAAACAAGCAGTGGTGACTTTGGCAATGTGATTGTTCATAGAAAGTTCCGAGTCCAGCAGAATACCCAGGTTACGAACCGAAGACGCAGGCACAACGAACTTGTTGCCCACGCGAACAGTGTTGGCCTGAAGCTGATGCTGGCGTCAAGCAGTTGCAAACTGAATAAAGTAGGTTTTTGATGCATTGAGCTGGAGATGTTGTTTACTAGCCATGAAATCTGAGGGTGAAGTTTAACTCTTTCACTCTAGAACGACTTCGCAGTTTAGGAGGCAGGAAAAGCAGTGCTCAGATTAGTAGCTCTAGTTACCTGGCTAACAACTAATTGCGGTGACGCCTAATAATCAAAGTTAATTTAGTCATCAATAATGCATTTGCTAATTTAAACACGTTAACTTCGTCATCAATAATAAATTTGCTAATCTAAGCACTGTAAACATACAAATAGCTCGCAGGGCCTTGTCTGCAGTAATGATCAATTCAGTGGTGCAAGCAGTTCATTCATTATGAAGTCCAAAATGTTTTCAGTAAGCTTATTGTATACAGTTATGTACCGAATTTGTTAACAAAAAGATTTTCCTTCTGAAGGGAACGTTTCCAAAATTATCATCTTAATTATTAATTTTAATTGTTGTAGTGACAGCTAAATTCTTAATGCCCCCGCTCGTATTGTCAAAACCCTCGACGCTCGTATTGACAATATTATTATCCGCTCGTATATCCGCTCGGATATCCGCTCGTATTGTCAAAACCCTCGACGATGTAATGAAAAGCTCACCAGATTACTTTAACCTCTGACAATTATTTTATAATCTAAAAATTCGCCGAGGCCTCTAGAACTTTGGCCCGGGATCACAACAAAAATGAAAGCACATCTCACACACACTCACTCTGCGGCAGACAAGCTGCAATTGATGTCGCTCTCATCGGATTACGTATTTATGAACTTGATTCGTTCTATGATGCCTAACTCTCACATCATACGCTTTATTCGCTTATTCTTAGTACTATTATACTATTAATAAAGTACCCAGCAGCTAGACAATCTCTGGTTGATCCTAAGTTAATGCAACAAAATTTATTAATATTTTTAATATATGAATATTTTATGATAGTAAGTAGATTAGAGCTCTTAAATAACGATTAATATCATACAACAAAGGATGCCTCGGCTACTCGGCCAATTTTTTAATTTTACCTTCGAATTAAATTATTACATAGATTTATGCTCTGAAATCACACGAAGTGGACTTTGTAGAACACATCTAGATTTTTCAATAATGGTTCACGGGATTAAAATCACGGGCAAAGGTACAATAGTACCTGAACTCTGTACGATCATAACAAGGTAAAATTATGCAGTATAACAATGGTTAATTGTGAAAGGCCAAACGAACCCAGGGTGATATATGTGATATGGACCAATATATGTGATGTGGACCAATATATGTGATGTGGAATAATATATGTGATGTGGACCAATATATGTTATGTGGACCAATCTGTGTGATGGGACCAATATATGTGATGTGGACCAATATATTTGATGTGGACCAATATATGTGATGTGGAATAATATATGTGATGTGGACCAATATATGTTATGTGGACCAATCTGTGTGATGTGGACCAATATATGTGATGTGGACCAATATATTTGATGTGGACCAATATATGTGAGTGGACCAATATATTTGATGTGGACCAATATATGTGAGTGGTCCAATATATTTGATGTGGACCAATATATGTGAGTGGACCAATATATGTTATATGCGTACCAATATATGTGTTGTGGACCAATATATGTGATGTGGACCAATATATGTGATGTGGATCAATGCACGTGATGTGGACCATTATTTGTGATGTGAACCAATATAGGTGTTGTAGACCAATATATGTGATGTGGACCAATTCGTATCGTAACGTTCCAGTTAACGCGACCATCAGTTATCGTCACGTCCGCTGTTTTGCTCTCCCAACACCCGAATTTGGGTGGTTGAGGTCAAAATGGCCTTCTCTGGATACTCTTCCCTGGACAGTTGGACATTCTCAGTATAATTGGAAGGTATATAAAGCTGGCTATTTCTTTAGCCGATTTACCGATGTGAGTCCACTCACTCGCCAGCTTTATGTCACCCACACAGGTGATAACTCACAGTAGGTGATAATTTTTCCAGCATCAACGGGAAGGGCTGCAACATCATATACATCAACATCATATACACCAATATCATCATAACAAACATCATCAGCACCAACGTCTTCAGCGGCTGCAACATCAGCACCAACATCATCAGCAGCAAAAAATAAATAGTCCCATGTATCATTATCATTTAGTGTATTATCATTACATCATAATTAATGGTTTTATTGAGCTGAGCATAACTTGTTGGTTGATGGATCTTCCGGAAAAAACTATTCAATTTTTAAGTACATAAGAAAGTGTAGGACTAAATACGGTAATCAGGAGTGTTATATATTGTTTAAATTGATAGCAAATTTATAGCAAGGAGAAATCCTTAGTGAACTTGCGATTTCTGAAAAATACAGATAAAAGTACTTGCATAAATTTGGTCGTATATTCGATTGGATATTTGTTGTTATGAGAATTCTAGATGATGGAACTGGGCTCACAGCTTAAAAAATTATAAATATTATTAGTACAATAAACCAAAATATATGTATATTAAATATAAAATATATAATATAGGCCGTATACCTATATTATATCTATAGGCCTATATTATATATAGGCCTCAATATTGAGGCTTTGCAGAGTCATGTGTCCGTGAAACGAACTTTTTAAAATGGAAAATATTCAACACAGCATTGTCGTATTTACAATCACCATCCGAAGGTCGTTTATATATATATATATAAATATTTTTTTATTCAGCAATTTCACGTTTGTTTTATTTATGAAAAACTGAAAAGGAAATGCTACAGGCAGCCTACAAGGAGAAATGTGAACTGACGCTCAGGTCGTCCTTCTTCTTACCGCACTGAAGAAAATGTTGAGAAAATTTGGGACCAAATCAAATTCTCTCTATCGAATTCTAAGAGAATATTTTGGGTAAATAAATACATATTTCAAAAATCAAACTGGTTTCTTTTTTTGGGGTTCCTCTCGTACATTGCCCAAATAGTTATTTTTTTATTATTTTGCTCTAGAAATTTCAGGACGCAAAAATAATTAACAATTACCGAACCCAATTTTTTAACTTATTGACTAACTAGATTATATTCTTACATTAGGTATACATACTCACGCCTTCTAAGGCGCCTTTTGTGTCAAATAATTTATGTATATATTGGTATGATTTGGTAAAAGTTGTTTCTCTATCATTGAAGATAATAGAATGGAACTTATTAGCTATTGTCCTGCTAATATTTTTGAGCGAGTACAACAATATCCTCGGCCAGCGTTGGAAGGTCAAAAACAGTTTTCCAAAATAAATTTATTATGACTATTTTCATACAATCGTTATTAAATTATAGGCAGTGATGTTAGAAACTTTTATTGGCAAGAGAATTGACTTGAATAGAGTTCTTGAGGGCCTGCATTCTCGCAGCCGAGGAACGGATTCTCTTCATCAATTTGGTAAATCAATTTGATACGAGGGCTGGAACCGCGTTTAGAGACGAACTGCTGCAAAAGTTGACATGGAAGCGGCCGAGTCACCACCAGCTACACACCAGCTTGTAGTTCATACTGTCAAGAATGTATTTTTCGTAAATTTTCATTATAGTAAAAATAAATGCGTAACATTAGCAAGAGCGGAAAGCAGTGAATTCAAATTAGTTGGTGGCAAATAAAATGTAATCACCTGAGATAATATTGCCGCTCAGTGTGCTAACGCACTCTTAGGGAAGAGTTGAATTTAAGAAAAAAAGAAGAAATCAGTAGAAGGAGGATGCTTCAGACGGAAAGACAGTTAGTAAAGTTGAAGATTGGATGGTTTGAAGTAAGATTAAAGTTAAAGCGACTTGGCATAAACTCCACGACAGAGCTTTAGTTAGAGCCTCGTCAACTCAAGGTAACAATTAAATTTGAATAAATAAGATTATTGAAGTCTGAAGCATCTCACACGAAAATTAAGCATAGACTTAAGCGAACTTAACAAAATGAAAGAAAATCGGGCACGCAAACCAAGGAATAGACAAATCACAGTTCTAGGAAGATGATTAGACTTAGGGTTGAAAATTGCTGATGATGTAGCGGCGGCTGACGACAGGTAGTTTGTAGGTTCACAAAAAAGGTCTTAATGCCGCGGACCCCTGACATCGGAACCCCGGCCCTGAAGTAAACTCCCTAACAATAAACTTACCCTAGATTGAACGCAACAATAATCTTATTCTAATAAAACAAAGTAAAAGAAATTAACAAACTAAGTAACTGTGGGAAATTTCCCACATTATTTAGATAAAAGACGTTTTGAATATAAATTCTTCATTATTGGTGACTTTGCAACACATGAAATTTCGAGATTTGAAATCACTTAAATTCAAACATTGGGCAACATAGACGCAACTCGATCATAACTGTTGCCCAGCTTTTGAAAATTATTCATTAAGTAATCAAATTTATCATTTGACACGTCTTGAACCTAATTTATAGGAAGTAGATATTAGGAGACACGTACCCTTCATTCGAAGAGCCTCAGCTATCGCCCGTAGACTTTTTTGAGAAAATAAGTTCAACCAAATTCATTGCGTTAAATTTATTGACAGATAAATTTTTTGAAGTAAGCCACAATATGTTGGTGCTCTGCAGGGTGATGTAGTTGGGCCAGTAGATGTCGGTCAAGCTATGGCGCGCTGAAGGATGATGTAGTAGGGCCAGTAGATGTCGGTCAAGCTATGGCGCGCTGCAGGATGATGTAGTAGGGCCAGTAGATGTCGTTCAAGCTATGGCGCGCTGCAGGATGATGTAGTAGGGCCAGTAGATGTTGGTCAAGCTATGGCGCGCTGTAGGATGATGTAGTAGGGCTAGTAGATGTCGGTCAAGCTATGGCGCGCTGTAGGATGATGTAGTAGGGCCAGTAGATGAGGTTGAACACCAAAAAGTTCACGGGGAACACGACGCGCGACAAGCGGTCCAGCGCTCGGGCGTAGTAGATGTAGGTCTGCCCGTAGCCTTCCATCTGGGAAGAAATACTTCTGAAATTTCAAAAATATTGCTTATATATCATCAAATTACTTTTTCTATCTCTGAATGATACAGCAATAGCTTACTTGAGTATCACAATTAAAACAATTTGAAAGTCTGCACCAGTTAACTAAGTGTTCAGTTTGTATGAAAGATACAAGCGCAACTTAAATCTCTAGATTAAGAGTAATTACCTCTGTAGGCAACGATTTTAATTCACTCCGGAATTGAATTAATATTATAAACATAACACCGTATATTAAATTTTGAAAGGATTTCTAAATATCTTCCATTTACTTCTCTGTTCTTGTTCAAAAATTTGTAAGTATTACCTTAGGCTGACCGGGGAGCGGCTTGGGTGCTCCTCCAGTATAGCCCGCGAGCTGGTGACGAGGAGGATAAATAAGTTGTTATAAATATACTGATAAATGAAGATTAAATCATTGATTGTTCATTGAAATTTCAGCCTTTGCATTTAACTGATTTTTGTAGAAGTGCTGCAAGATTTGCACGTATTATCAGTAAGCTAACACTGAGGGGAAATTAAGCTAACACTGAGAGGAAGTAGATGCATGAATGTTGTTCCCAAAATCATTTTTTCATTAAATCAGATGAGTTCCGTCTCACAGCTTTATCATCAAAATTAGTTCTACACTCACCCATCTTGGCAGATGAATTAGTTCAGGAAGTCTCGAGTCGATCATTAATTTGTTTGCCAGCCAGTTAGCTACCGTGAACTCCAGCAGGGCGCTGAACACCATGATCATGCATACACCGATCCACACGTCGATAGCCTGTACACGAACATGGATGTTGATTTTTAAATCTACGTATGTTTTTATGAACAATTAGGGCTTATTTACTTGGCGTGAAAAAGTATCTGTTTTTCGGTTTTTCAATCAAAATTGAATATTGCTGTTTGAACAGGTTCAAGCACGGAAATAAATTGAGTGTAGCTGTTTAAAAAATTTTAAGCAGTTCGTCTTAAACAAGTTTGGGAACGGCTTCCAAAAAAATATAACTCAGTACTCACTGCAGTGAGTGACAGCTAGAGAGCGTATTTTCTCGTCAACGAAAACGTGAAGTCACGGACAGACAGACAGGCGGACTTGACGAGCACAGTAGTGCCTTTTTTTCCATAAATGAGAAAATGCGCTAAAAATTAGGTACGGTTTCTCAAACAAATTTAGTAGGGATTTTTCTACACTTTCCAGCACGGCTGAGTTTGAGTTTTGCAAAAAGCCACAGTATTATTTAAGAATCCATAGGATGGATTTTGGAAAGTCTGAATCCATGCATCGATTCTGGAGCTGTATAGTTTACGAAAAAACATGTGTTGTATTGATATGTGCCTGAGGGTATACAGATGTTTGACAAGTTTGTTACTAGGCATAAGTCTATTCATTTTTATTAAATAGAGATCAATGAATTATTCAGAAAGCAAGCCTGTAATACTCGTAGCTAAGGGCTGAGGAGGATTAGCTACAGGTTTTTTTTGAACTTGAATAGTAAAAATAATAACCATGCACAGACGCTGATTGAACCGCTGAGAATATGCCCATTATAATACATCCAAAGAAATGACTAAATTCGAAAAAATTCATCAAGTTACAAAAAAATTACACCAAGTTTCATCAAGTTCCGTCAAAATTACAAGGTCTAAAATTTATTGTTGCAGACCAGTGGTCTCCTTAAGCTGTCTGATTTGGGCCAGAAATTATAACCTAAAGCGGATATGTAGCTTTAGGTTATAATTTCTGCCGACTAGGACTCGGTTAGCATCTAAATGCTAATCGAGTCCTAGTCGGCACGTGTTGAAACGTTGGAGTTATGTTTTTGCGTGTGGAAAGTACCTCAGGTACCTCAAGAACCTACGCAATTATACCACTTAATGATCATATGTAGTGGAATACCACCTGATCATGATCACTTAAACCACTTTAATGAATGCATTCATACTCGCCGCCTCAACGACCATTGTCACAATTTATCACATGTACAGTATAAGTCGAGTCTCAGTTTTTCAGTTTCGATTATTTCAGCATTTAATCCTGGTGTGCAATATCATTAATCCTGGTGTGCAACTAACAGTACTCGAAACTTTAACATACAGTTATTTAACTCTACCTGCATGGAGTGTGTCAACTATGAATTTTATCGAATTTAGTGAGATATTGCATTTGTATAACCTTACCTTGACGTAGGAGACGGGAGGCAGGGCCTGCCTAACCCCTGCCGCCAGGGTTGTTAGGGTCAGCAGGGTTGTGACCCCAAGGGTTATCCTACCAGGGGCAGCGTTAGGGTCAAGCCAGAAGGATACCCAGGATATGAACACGATGAGGATGGTAGGGATGTAGGTCTGTAGGATGTGGTATCCGTTCTGCCGCCGGAGCGCGAAATGCGCCGTAAGGCCGCTGTAGATTCCTGAAATTTACAATATTTCATTAATTCGTTCAAAATTCAAGTATTTTAGGTAACATGACTCATGAAATTAAAAAAATTACTGGTTGCATGTAATCTTTTTTTTTTTTTGCAAGTATTCTTTTTTGAAGAGATATCGTTAATTGTAATCACTGCTATTACAATTTATGATATCTCTTCAAAATATGATCTTTTCAAAGTAATAATCGAAAATTTTTAATAAATTTTCAAGATGAGTCGACGACAATTTGTACAAATGGACGGAAATTTTTACAAATGCGTTCAGGAAACAATTTATCGTAAGGCTCAATAGTGAATATTGTTCGCAGGCATCTTCTAAAATACGCCCAAAAATTTATGTTCAGATTATTATCAGCAAAATTGATTTTATAATCTCTTCTGAGCGTCAGAACGTAATGCCATGTGATTGTATTTTCAATTTGGTTTCAAGTTTGGTTTAGCCACAAATATTCAGAACTATACAATTTACAACACTTCAACATTACCAATTCGCACTATAATTATTGTTCAAAACTTCGGGCTGACTGTAAGACTGCACGCACACTAAGTTGGGATTCAAATTATTTCATTTAGGCTTCATTGAAATTCATATTTTTATGTATGAGTCGGATCGCTTCCTCATGGGTAACAACCGTAAATTCGGACCGGATGTAAAATTATTGTTATTAATTTATATTTTTTTAAATTAGATTAATCAATAATGGTGCAAATGTCTTCACTATTGTCAAGACATTGGCGTCTATTGGTACAAATCTTTAAAAAATTATCACAAATTAAAGTTGTTAAACACGCTGACTCCGATTGCTTCATCTTATACTATAATTTAATTTATTCTATTTTAAAACAGGGTTGCCAGACGGTAATTTTTTTTTCAGGGTAAATTCAACGATTTAATTTTCTCAATGGCGTCGCCCGGCTAAAATTTATGATAGGGGTACTGTCTAAATAAATTTGAAAAACTCTACAAAAAATTGCATTTTTATACCGGAACCTACATATATACTTGTATGCATTGATTCTTAGGCCGTTTTGCCGTTTTTCTTCGCGGACTTGGCTGTTTTAGCGCAGTTTCTCATTTATGGAAAAAATGCCCTAATGTGCTCGTCATGTCCTTCCGTCCGTCCGTCCGTGACTTCACGTTTTCGTCGACGAGAAAATGCGCTCTCTGTCACTCACTGCAGTTAGTATTGAGTTACATTTTTTAGGCCATCTGGCAACTCTGAATTATGTACCACTACTTACTGGAGAAATACATTTCGTGGTACGCATATTGTTCGGAGTCAACGTGTTTAAACACTTCGAGTCAACGTTTTTAAACACTTCGAGTCAACGTGCTAAACACTTCGAGTCAACGTGTTAAACACTTCGAGTCAACGTGTTAAACACTTCGAGTCAACGTGTTTAAACACTTCGAGTCAACGTGTTTAACANGGTAAAATTTTGGTGCATAAATCTTCGATAGTTGCAAAGATATTCATAAAAACTACATAAATTTGAATAACTTTTTCGTTTTTGCATGTAGCTAAATACTTCGAGTCAACGTTATTGAACACTTCTAGTCAACGTGTTTAAACACTCCGAGTCAACGTGTTTAAATAACCCTGTGCACCTCACCCGTGACCGTAACGACTGTACGGTTTTCAGTGCCGTACGCCATGAGATCAAATTCGCTAATTTCGATCTCGTCGTCGATCTCGAGGGCATCTTCCGCACTCCAGCTGTACGCTATCACGTTCCCAGGGTTGGCATCTGGGTAATAACTTAAATTACTATTAAATATTCATTAATTACTACACAATTTTATAATATAATGAGAAATATTATCTTTCAGTAAAATTTGCTACAGGAAGACATACCACCGAATAATAGTGTCTGATGAAATTACATGATGACAGAGCAGACAGTATAAATGGTCTGCTAGACTCACAATATAACAGACCATATGGTAAATGGTCTGCTACACTCACAGGATAAAAGACCATCTGGTAAATGATCTGCTACACTCACAATATAACAGACCATATGGTAAATGGTCTGCTACACTCACAATATAACAGACCATCTGGTAAACGTCTGCTAGACTACCTGGAAGACAGACCATCTGGTAAATGGTCTGCTAGACTCACAGGAAGACAGACCATCTGGTAAATGGTCTGCTAGACTACCTGGAAGACAGACCATCTGGTAAATGGTCTGCTAGACTCACAGGAAGACAGACCATCTGGTAAATGGTCTGCTAGACTCACAGGAAGACAGACCATCTGGTAAATGGTCTGCTAGACTCACAGGAAGACAGATGCAGGTAGCAAGTCTGAGCATCGAACGGGTAGAGTTCGAGCTCCAGGGAGCAGGAGAGTCGCAACGTCAACCTGGAGAAAATGTAAAGAAATTCAGACGGCAACGCAACGAAAACGTACAACGATACTGTATAGACAGTATACAGTTGAAGCTGTATAGACAGTATGCAGTTGAAACTGTATAGACAGTATACAGCTTAAAACTTATAGACAGTATTCAGTTGAAAATTTATAGACAGTATATAGTTGAAAATTAATAGACAATATACCGTTGAAACTGTAGGGACAGTATACAGTTGAAACTGTATAGACAGTATACAGTTGAAAATGCATAGACAGTATACAGTTGAAACTATATAGACAGTATACAGTTGAAGCTATATACAGTATACAGTTGAAACTGTATAGACAGTATACAGTTGAAATTGTATAGACAGTAGAGTTGAAACTTCTCACTGAAACGATATAAATGATGAAGATTCACAAAAAATAGGCGATCTAAAAAATCTGATGTTTTGTCCGAAGTTTCTTCAGTCACTTCTAATTTACAGACAAGACACTGTCATGATACACTGATATTCAAGCGACATTACCTCTATATGGTATATGGACTAATTAATTTCTACCCAGAAAAATGAATGAGTCAAATAGCTCGTTCCATGAGTTCCAGTCTCACGGTGGCTGAATGACCAGTCAATGCGGTGAATGAGTTCCAGTCTCACGGTGGCTGAATGACCAGTCAATGCAGTGAATGAGTGACAGTCTCACGGTGGCTGAATGACCAGTCAATGCAGTGAATGAGTTCCAGTCTCACGGTGGCTGAATGACCAGTCAATGCTGTGAGTTCCAGTCTCACGGTGGCTGAACGACCAGTCAATGCCGTGAATGAGTTCAGTCTCACGGTGGCTGAATGACCAGTCAATGCAGTGAATGAGTTCCAGTCTCACGGTGGCTGAACGACCAGTCAATGCCGTGAATGAGTTCCAGTCTCACGGTGGCTGAATGACCAGTCAATGCAGTGAATGAGTGACAGTCTCACGGTGGCTGAATGACCAGTCAATGCGGTGAATGAGTTACAGTCTCACCGCATGCTGTAAAGAACGTCGCCGTTCTGGCTGACCCGTAGCAGAACGTTGGGCACGGTGACGGTGTGCAGTGACGCAACTTTAACGTTCTCGAAGAACGTGTCGGGTTTCCAAATCTTTTCGCGCAGCTGTTAAATAAATGCGAGGCAAGATATTTAATTATCTTTTCTTAATAAATTAATAAATTTCAGTTGATAAATAGGTTAATAAATGCCTGACACATTCTCTTCTCAAATTCGCATATAACTTGAGCAAAACAAAAAAAATCAAACTTAAGAAAATAAAACTCAAACTAAAATAAACTTAAATGAAAGCGCGCGTTATTCTGGAATAACAGTTTATTTTCTGGCAAAACCTTTCATTGAAGGCTGCCACCACAACATCGATCTACACTTTCCAGTAATCAGTATAGTTTCCAACCATCCGTATACACTTTCCAACCATTATTCATATACACCTTCCGACCATCAGTCTACACTTTCCTAACATCGATCTACACTTTTCAACTGTCGGTCCACGTTTCCAACCATCGGACCACTCGTTCCAACCATTCGTTTAGTCTTTTTAAAAACTGTTTCTTACTTTGAAGCTATTGGGTTACTCTATTCAACAATCGGTCTAAACTTTCTAGCCATCGGTTTACATTTTTCTACCTGAGCTCCAGACTCGCCTAACTGAAGACTACACTTCCCCACCTAATATTCAACACTTCCCCACCTAATATTCAACACTTCCCCACCTAATATTCAACACTTCCCCACCTAATATTCAACATTTCCCCACCTAATATTCAACACTTCCCCGCCTAATATTCAACACTTCCCCACCTAATATTCAACACTTCCCCACCTAGGTCACGTCACACTCACCTGAGGGTCTACGATAGTGTAGCTGGGTAGACCACCCTCGTAGGCCAAGCGATGATCATTCCAGCGTTGGCGCAAGAAAAGGTCTAGCGTAAAGTCCTGTTGAACAGTTGGATGAATGACGAATGTTGGATGAATAATGAATGTTGGATGAATAGTGAATATTGGATGAATAATGAATGTTGGAAGAATAATGAATATTTTACAACAGATGCCCTAACCCTTGTATACTTTCTACTTCTTCTTATAGATCTCGGTCCCAGATATTCAATGTGTATTAACTCTTACTTATCAAATAACCGAAAATATATGTCATTGGACACTACACAGAATTTTTATCAGTGAAAATTGAAAAACTCTTAATAACTAATCAGTGTTATTTTCCTGCTAAAATATCAATAACCATGTTGCCTGCGTTCAGGGATCCGAACGAATTGAAGAACATCTGTACGCTCACGTCAGTTGCACCTGAAAAGCAACGAAAACCATTGTTCATATTTGAATTATTGTCTAAAATTCATACTTGAATTAATGCAATAAATTAAGGCTTGAATTAATGTCATAAATTAATATAAGAATTATTGCAATAAATTAATACGTATTGCTATGGAAGATCTTAATACCAACATTAATAGAGGCTTCAGCGTTGATTACTGAAGTTAAAAAAAAACATTTTAACGTACATAGACGAGACGCTATTTAGACGTTACCAAGAAAGGCGTTATCGAGACATTATATGCGGGGCGTTATTGAAGAACTAAAATGAGAGGCGTTTTTGAAAAAGTATTAAAAGATGCGTTTATGAGGTGTTTTTGAGGCGGTAAAATAAGAGGCGTTCTATATATAGAAGCGTTACCGGCATCGAGGCTTAAATATTAAGGGTGATTGAGGCATATATATAAGTGGCGTTTTTGAAGCATAAATACAAAGACGTTTATGAAGCATTGATATAAGTGGCGTTTTTTAGCATAAATACAAAGACGTTTTTGAAGCATTGATATGAGAGGCATTTTTGAAGCATAAATACAGAGACGTTTTTGAAGCATTGATATGAGAGGCATTTTTGTAGTATAAATACAGCGACTTTTTTGAAGCATTGATGTGAGAGGTGTTTTTGAAGCATAAATACAGAGACGTTTTTGAAGCATTGATATTGATATGAGAGGCGTTTTTTAAGTATAAATACAGAGACGTTTTTGAAGCATTGATGTGAAAGGTGTTTTTGAAGTATAAATAGAGACATTTTTGAAGCATTGATATGAGAGGTGTTTTTGAAGCATAAATACGAGACGTTTTTGAAGCATTGATATGAGAAGCGTTTTTAAAGCATAAATACAGACACGTTTTTGAAGCATTGATATGAAAGGTATTTTTGAAGCATAAATCCAGAAACGTTTTTGAAGCATTGATATGAGAGGCGTTTTTGAAGCATTGATATGAGAGGCGTTTTTGAAGCATAAATACAGAGACGTTTTTGAAGCATAAATACAGAGACGTTTTTGAAGCATTGATATGAGAGACGTTTTTGAAGCATAAATACATAGATGTTTTTGAAGCATAAATACAGAGACGATTATGAGGCATTAATTAAAGAGGTCTTTTGAGGCGTTTCTGAGGCATTAATAAAGAGGTGTTTTGATTCGTTTTTATTTGGCATTAATAAAAGAGATGTTTTGAGGCGTTTTTGAGGCATTTTTGTAAGAGATGTTTTAGAGGTATTACTGAAGCTTTAAATAAAAGTCGCTATTGATCTTACTGTTACGGTGCTGGTCAGGCCACACGTTCACGTCGTAGTCGTCGAGTAGCCTGAGTACGCGTTCACGTTGTGACCCTGCAGGGCTGAATAATAAAAATAAAAATTATCTTTATCATTTTAAACTGCATCTTAAATACATTCAAATCACAAAATAATACGGAATCATGCATGCATGGATCCAGAAATAATTCGATAATTCAATATACATACACAAAAAATGGCTAACAGTGTTGGCAGACATCACGAGAAACGACAAAATTGCTACAGTTTTCTAATCAATAATTAACAAGCTAACAATCTATCTGGAAATTATCTTTGAATTTTCAAACATAATTTTTTTAAAAATAACATTAAAAATATCACCCGCAAAGTAATTATCATAAAATTCAAGTTTACTGGAAAAATCTCTGAAAAATATGAGTGTATCTGATTTTTGTATAGAAACGCGCTTTCAGAAAGTGTCAGTTTAAATTAAATCACCTTGAAGTTATGACAATATAGTGGAATATTTTATGCATAACTTTAGATTTCAAGTAATTGAAATGAAATACACGAGTTTGAATTATATGCCAAATGCAACTGCTCTATTGTCTAAAATTTTAAATTCTAATTTAAACGCACTTAGTCTGTGAACTTAGCTGGCTCAGCAGCAGCAGCAGCAGCAGCGATAATCGCATCATCTCATAAACTATGCAAAGTAATATTCGTGAAAAATTATATTTTTAAATTACTGCGAATTTAATTTCAAACACAACGTTGTGTCATATGCGTCACAGAAGTAAATATTTGTGTTGTGTTGACTTTGTGTTGCTGTGTGGTGTATAGCAAGTGATTAGAGACACAACTGACACAAAGTGATGGCAGGGAGAAAAAAAAACATTTCATTGCATCATGACACAAATTAACTCGATCTTGGTGGCACTTGTGAAGGAGCTGACACGTGGCATTGTGTAGCGACACAAAATACCTTTGACACAATGCGTGGTGTCAGCACACAAATTAACTCAACCACAATGCATTGCGTCAATGCCCAAATTGACTCTGACACATGGCATCGTATCACGACACAAATGACTAACACATTGCGTTGTGTCTCAACGCAAAAATGATTCTGACACACGGTATTGTGTCACGACACAAAATGACTAACACATTGCCTTGTGTCACGACACAAATGACTAACACATGGTGTTGTGACACGACACAAAGTGACTCTGACACATGGCATTGTGTCACAGCACGGAATGACTCCGACACACTAAGACTGGCACACAGCCACAGCAGTGTTAGCAGCGCCACGGCGCACAGCCCTTAATAGCTTCTAAGCGCTTGTTTGCTCGGTGAATACCTGGTTAAACGATGTGCAGTTAAATGATGTGCAGTTAAATGATGTACAGTTAAATGATGTACAGTTAAATGATGTACAGTTAAATGATGTGCAGTTAAATGATGTGCAGTTAAATGATGTGCAGTTAAATGATGTGCTGTTAAATGATGTACAGTTAAGTGATGTACAGTTAAATGATGTGCAGTTAATTGATATACAGTTAAATGAATTACAGTTAAATGATGTACAGTTAAATGATGTGCATTTAAATGATATACAGTCAAATGATGTACAGTCAAATGATGTACAGTCAAATGATGTGCAGTTAAGTGATGTACTTGTACAATTAAACACATGTACAGTTAAATACTTGTACAGTTAAACACTTGTACTGTTAAATAATTGTACGGTAATATACTTGTACAGTTGAATACTTGTACAGTTATATACTTGTACAGTTAAATACTTGTACAGTTGAATACTTGTACAGTTAAATACTTGTACAGTTAAATACTTGCACAGATAAGTACTTGTACAGTTATATACTTGTACAGTTAAATACTTGTACAGTTATATACTTGTACAGTTAAATACTTGTACAGTTGAATACTTGTACAGTTAAATACTTGTACAGTTGAATACTTGTACAGTTAAATACTTGTACAGTTAATACTTGCACAGATGAATACTTGTACAGTTATATACTTGTACAGTTAAATACTTGTACAGTTGAATACTTGTACAGTTAAATACTTGTACAGTTAAATACTTGCACAGATAAGTACTTGTACGGTTATATACTTGTACAGTTAAATACTTGTACAGTTGAATACTTGTACAGTTAAATACTTGTACAGTTGAATACTTGTACAGTTAAATACTTGTACAGTTAATACTTGCACAGATAAGTACTTGTACAGTTATATACTTGTACAGTTAAATACTTGTACCGTTAAATACTTGTACAGTTAAATACTTGCACAGATAAGTACTTGTACAGTTATATACTTGTACAGTTAAACACATGTACAGTTAAATACTTGTACAGTTAAACACTTGTACTGTTAAATAATTGTACAGTAATATACTTGTACAGTTGAATACTTGTACAGTTATATACTTGCACAGTTAAATACTTGTACAGTTAAACACTTATACAGTTAAATACTTGTACAGTTAAACATTTGTACAGTTGCATACATGTACAGTTAAATACTTGAACAATTATTAAAAACTAGTACAATCAAAAACTTGTTCAAATAAAAAATGGTTCAGTAAAATAATTATTCTTATTAGAAAGTAAATGCTCATGCTGATCAATGCCTACTGAGTTGAATAGTTTCGTGATTGATTATTTTTAATTCTACGCACACGAATCTTATGCATTATATAGACGGTAATTGATTTCCAATAATACAAATAATTAAAATAATTACATAGTTTTTAACTATACATGTGCTGAACGATTTAACTGTCAAAACTTTGAACATTTTTTTACATATTTTTCTATTACGAACACAGTTAAAAACTCGTTCATTTATTATGTACAGATTATATGGTAACATCATAAAGATATATATTAATAAATACGTTTTAATTATATATTAAACCGCTTATATTTTATGCAATATATAGTTTACCACCTGTATTGTGAATCATTACATGCTCAATGACTTTGAATAACAATAATTAAGTGTACGAACATTTATACCGGATGAATTAAAACACATATACAATGAAATAATTTTCTTGCAATTTTGATATATTTGGGTACCACATTTAAAATAAAAACGTTGATGCTGGTGTTATTAATTTGTATTACTCATCGAATATGAATTTGTATTACTCATCAATTAATAATTTGGATTACTCTTCTATTATGAATTTATATTACTCTTCGACTATGAATTTTTATTACTCGTCGACTATGAATTTTTATTACTCATCGATTATGAATATCATCCGGAATAACTTCGTTATAACCTTCCAAATCTTTAAATGAATACTAAAACAAAGCCTGCAATGAAACCAACTTATTACCGAAAAAATATTTTGCAAATCATCTTTTCTATCTTCCAACTCCTGCAAAACGCAACGTTAAACAAATTTGTAAAAAATTAAATGAACGAGAAAAAATCGCTAATAAAATGTATAGTCAGTTTTTCAGTTTAATTGCATAAATAAAATTATTGCCGTGTTTCTCTTTACCGGTGAAGAAAGACGCAACTTTTTATGTGCACCTTCAAACCAGTGAGAAAAATCAAGTTCAATAATGACAACCAAATAAACCCTACGGTTTACTTAATAAATCTCGTCACATGTGCTAGTAATTAAGCATGTTTCTATATATAATTATTCGTACGTTCATTATAGCTCAGTGCGTGAGATGGCAGCGTGAGAGGCGCACGTGCTGGCTTAAGCTCAAGTCGTTACAGGCAAATTGAATGTTAGGGTCTGACCGTGATTATTTGGGTCTGAACGTGATTATGTGGGTCTGACCGTGAATATATGGGTCAGAACGTGGAAATGTGGGTCTGAACGTGATTATGTGCGTCTGAACGTGATTATGTGGGTCTGAACGTGATTATGTGGGTCTGACCGTGATTATGTGGGTCTGACCGTGATTATGTGGGTCTGAACGTGATTATGTGGGTCTGAACGTGATTATGTGGGTCTGGACGTGGATACGTGGGTCTGAACGTGATTATGTGGGTCTGAACGTGATTATATTGGACTGAACGTGGATACGTGGGTCTGAACCTGATTATGTGGGTCTGAATGTGTATATGTGGGTCTGAACGTGGATGTGTGGGTCTGAACGTGATTATGTGGGTCTGAACGTGAATATATGGGTTAGAACGTGTATATGTGGGTCTGAACGAGTGTTTCTTTAATATTCACTACTATTTTTCATGGGAAAACGGAGATGACGGGACTTGGGACAATGGAAATGCCGAAATTCGGAACGATTAATGATGGGATTCGAGATAAAAAGATTCTAAAATTGCACTAACCATTGACCCTGGGAAAGTGTTGTATATTTTGATGGCCTGCGTTTTTCGGTACAAGGTCAACCATAAGCGATGGGGCTTACAAACAAAAGATGGATAATTCAGATAATAACATAATAAACTTTTAATGTGGTTGGTGAATGTGTATTATAGAAGGACGCAGGCACTAATTAAGAATGAGCAGTGAATAAACGGATGAAGATTGTGAATAAACGGATGAAAATTGTGAATAAATGGATGAAAATTGTGAATAAATGGATGAAGAGTTGTGCGTAAATGGATAAAGAGTTGTGACTAAATGGATGAAGAAGTGTGAGAAAATGGATGAAAAGTCGTGAGAAAATGAATGAAGAGTTGGGAGAAAATGGATGAAAAGTTGTGAGAAAGTGGATGAAAAGTTGTGAGGAAATAGATGAAAAGTCGTCAGGGAATGGATGAATAGTTGGGTGAAAATGGATGGAGAGTTGTGAGAAAATGGATGAAAAGTTGTGAGGAAATGGATGAAGAGTTGTGAGGAAATGGATGAAGAGTTGTGAGGAAATGGATGAAGAGTTGTGAGGAAATGGATGGAGAGTTGTGAGGAAATGGATGAAAAGTTGTGAGGAAATGGATGAAGAGTCGTGAGGAAATGGATGAAAAATCGTGAGGAAATTGACGGAGAGTTGTGAGGAAATGGATGAAAAGTTGTAAGGAAATGGATGAAGAGTTGTGAGGAAATGGATGAAGAGTTGTGAGGAAATGGATGAAGAGTTGTGAGGAAATGGATGAAGAGTTGTGACGAAATGTATGGAGGAAATTAATAAAGATTCGTAAAGAAGCTCGAGACAATATCCCATGATGTCGCCAAACACGATCTCGGTTTAAATCATCGAATAACAAGCGCTTTGAAAACAATAAAGCGAAATTTTAATAAATAATAATTATCCACTAATTTGCATTCATATATTCATGTGGGCAATGTAGGAAAATATTATTAGAAGCGCCTTTTTATAATAAATTATATCTAATTTTCACGTGAATGCTTCAATTACGAAGAATACAGCAGCATTATGAATTAATTATGAAAATTCAATATTGTGTGCACGAAATTACTTATAACATTTACACCAATAGTATTCATACGTAGGTATGCTATAGATGTATGCCGTACGAGGAGCTTCATTGCATATTTCATTTATTAATATCAATTGCTATAATAAACTTCCTTAATTACTAATCTATATTTCATTTTTCGTTGCCTTTTCAAATATTTCTAACATAATTACCTGTCGCACTTATTATTCTAACGCATTTAATCCAGATTAATCTTATTTTAGATAGCATTTTCATTTTCCCAATCATTTTGTATTAATTTGGCAATAACATATAGAAATTTTTTAATTATAGCAATCATATATTAAGACATAGCCATCATATACGACATTATAGCCGTCATGGCTAACCTACTAGTCTTGTCCAGTCAACCATGGCTAATACCGCTGCTGCTCTGGCTCCTGACTGCTGTAAGGTAAGCTAACTGATTACCATTATAACTGTTACTCTTCAATTACTCTCAGGTAAGCTAACTGATTACCATTAAACTGATTACCATTCCAACTGTTACACTCGATTACGCTCAAATAAGTGAAAGGCTATTGGTGGTTAGAGCAAAATTTTCTTGGGATATATTTTGGTGAAACTATTCAAATCATTAACTCGTAAACTCATATAAATAAAAATTTAACAAATGATTACGAAATTATTTACTTGATAATATATCAACCACTTCAATGATGATTCACGATCTTATAAAATTATTTTAATTAATTATTGCAAATAATTTGTCAACTTCTTATCATTCAAGTAAAGAGCTTTAAATTAAATTAAGTTATAATGCTGCTTTAAATAAATATTAATGTTTAAATATTAAGTAATTCAGTTCTATTATTGATTTAAATGTATATTAATATCTAAACATTAATCAATTCAGTTATAAATATGCCATATATGTATATTTATATATAAATATTAAGCAATATAGTAACAAGGATGCTATGAAATTGTGTTCCCTGTAGCGCGCTGCAGACGCATGCTACGCAGAAGGAGCGCATCCTGCAGATCCTACAGGACTACGACGTCAACGAGTGGCCAGACTTCCAGTACGGCAGTGAGTGGTGGTGACTAGTGGTGGTGACAAGTGGTGGTGACTAGTGGTGGTGACTAGTGGTGGTGACAAGTGGTGGTGACTAGTGGTGGTGACTAGTGGTGGTGACTAGTGGTGGTGACTAGTGGTGGTGACTAGTGGTGGTGACTAGTGGTGGTGACTAGTGGTGGTGTATATATTATGTTGTATGCATAGATTTATATGAATGTATATATTTATATTAAATATAATTGAACCAACTAATTGAATTTGTTATGCTGTATAATCTTATGCAACGCGTGCATCATAGCAGCGTATCAGGCATGCGAATGAGAAATCATGTACACTCAGGGAAATAAGTGAAGATTTGTCCGATGGGCCATGAATTTTAGGCTTTCAATTGTGTGGGTCATCTTGACCCAGTTTGGCAAAATGACCTGTCAATGCTACACATCCTCTGTTTGTTCGTTTTGTGGGTAAGAAAGTGTGTTACTTTTTGTGCAGAATATGACACATTCATTACTGTGAGTGTAGAGAGTTCGGCAAATAGGTAGCGACATTGCCAAGATTTCTTGATAATCAGCAACAATTTCTGGCAAAATCAAGATTAAAAAAAATAACTACGCTGTCGGTGACATCGATGTTGATTGTATCGCTGCCTTTGCCATTAAAATTTCTTTTTAAACCTACACTGAAAAAAATAACGAAGTTATGTTGTTCAAATAATGACACAATTTCTGAAAGCAGCGCTTATACGTCTTTTTGCTGAGCCAAACTGCGTCAAAATGACCCACACATATGGGAGAAAACTGCATCGCTATTTGAGCGCAGTGTTACTCATCTCTCTGAATGTAACCTAACAAAATTTAGAGTCGCCCCAGCTTCTATTACTCCAAATCAGAAGCTGACGTGTCTGTAAATTTTTCCTGGGTAGGGCCGTGTTAGAGGCGTCACATCGCCGGCCGCCTGTAAGATTTTTGCTCAGTTCTCTTCACCTGCCAGAGCGGGTTAATTAAAATTGTGTTGAGGAGTGGGTTGAATAAACAAAATTGCTTCAAAATATTTAATTATAATATATCAGAACTGTTAAAATAGCTGCGTTAGTAGAGCAGAATTATCCACATAAAGGCTAACAGTGCATCACTGCTTGGACAGACTCCAACTTATTTTCTGAGTGTAGAGTATAACTGCCATCTGTTCAACAAGACACTCGCCACAACAACAAACATAACTTCTTATGTCAAACAAAGGCAATGTCCGCTCAGTCTTTGGCATCAACTAACGCTTTGTCTCAGGGACCTAAGCCGACTGATAAGCTAAACTTAGTGACAAAGACCGTTAGCTTGACGGTAATAGACTTTTTGACATTATATTGAAAATGGATTTTATTGAAAACGGATTTTATTGTAAATGGATTATATTGAATAATGGGTTATATTGAAAATGAATTATATTCAAAATGAATTATATTGAATATGGATTATATTGAAAATGGAATATATTGAAAATTTATTATATTGAAAAATGGGTCAGATGACGCACTTGGCAGCGCTTCTGACGACGAGATAAATCTGCGCCGCCCACTGGCTGCTCGTTGCGTCTTGAATGTCCTCACTTTAAAAGAAATAAGTGAGATTTTGTCCAAATTGTGATGCACTTTTTCCCGTGCGTGATCATCCTGACCCATTTAGGCCCTTTAAAAAGGCGTCTCAGTGCAAGGTTAGCTCTCTGCTTGTGCAGTGCGTAAGAAAGTGTCACAATATAGACAAAATTACGTGTTCATTTTTCTCTCGGATTTTCGATAGCAACTTAAAATTGTTATTATTGGAGAAATTTATCAAAAATTGGAAATAACCTCATCATTTACAATGGTAATTATAATTATATTTTCAGAATTACTCATTTGTAAACTTATTTCTGTAACAAAAAATCTATAATAATCCACTATAAAAATTGTATACTAATTATAAAATTCTATAATAATATGAAAATTTTCCCCGTTGTAGTCAAAAGCGAGAAAAAAATTGCTAGAATTAATCCATTGAAAACATTCTGAATTGAATTCCTCAACTAATATTCAAGTATTTATTGTAAAAAAAATAAAAGTTAAAGTTACAAACGTTATCAATTATGGTAATCATGATGGCACCTAATTTCAGTATTTATATGGCATTAATAACAAAAAAATCATACTAATTGATTAACACGTATTGACGATATTGATGTAAAGGTTTTATTGTACTTAATTATCTTAAAAATTCACACTATTGCACGTGACTACATAATATTCTGAACAATTGACTGTAAAAAATTAGAATGACATGACTGAATAACACTCAAATAAATAACGCTCAGTATCATGCCAAGTGTCCGTCAGAATTAATTGTCTTAAAATTTTAAACTATTTTAAATAACAGCATAATATTAGAAATGAATGCGAGTAAAGAATTAGACTGACCCATGTACAAATAACTTTCAAATAAAGAGCGCTCAGTCTTCTGTCAAAGGTCCGTCAGAAAATCATAGGCGACTTACAAGCGGCCACCGATGAGGCGACCATGTTCGGGCTCTAATTCATGGGCATTCCGATGAAACGATTATATTACAGTCATAATACTAATTGCCGTAGACTGATTATTAATTGGACTAAAAATTTTTTCTATTTATTGTAAACCCCCAAAAAAATTTTTATTATTACTGAGTTCAAATTAGCCTTGCAATAGAGATAATCACCTAAAATGGGCTATTATCTCCAGTGTGATAATCGCCTTCAGCAAGAAAATAATTTCTTTATAAAGTGGTAGATTGACTGCAACGGAATAATCACCTATTAGGAAATGATAATTAACAATAATGGGAGGTTTTATCCTCAGTGAGATTATCTCCTGGAGAACCTCTTATCACTGGATATTATCTCCAGTGATAATGAGATTATAACACTGGAGATAATGATTAAATCACTGTAGATAATGATTACTTCACTGGAGATAATCTCCATTAATATTAACTATATTAATATCAGTTATTAATATTAACTATATTAATATCAATATATACATTAATATTAATATCAGTGAGAAGATAATCTCAACCACGCTGAGGAACTACAATGCCCGACATAATTGTTAATACACATTTTCTTCCTGGCATGAATTTTGGCAATTATTTCGCGAAATCGTTGAATGACAGTGAATAAATTTTCGTTATCACAGCGAAGCTAACACGCGTCAATCTGAAATAGATTGCAATCAGCATTCCTTCGATTGTCAGCGAGAGAACATCGCAATCTGCCTTCCCTAGCACGATTGTCAGTGAAGGAACATCGCAATCTGCCTTCCCTAGCACGATTGTCAGTGAAGGAACATCGCAATCTGCCTTCACTAGCACGATTGTCAGTCAGGAAACTATGGCGTTCGTCTTCTTCACTCTCTTTGAAGTTCACAATTAACGCTGCCGTTGCACCATCAATTTAAATTAATGTCCGCGTACAGTGCGTTGAGTTTACCAGCGTTTGGCACGTCGCTGACACGAAAAGAACATACACGTACAAATTTATTTTCTCACTTCATTACTGAGGTTTTTTTGCCTCATTAAATTACTTGTAAGTTTCGACCGTTTAATTGCTTCAGGCTGCATAATTCCTGGCGTTTGTAGCTTGCGGTCAATGCACTTAAAATTGCTAAAAATTTTCGACTTCACTAACAATTAAATAAATTATAGTTATTGAGCTGTTACTGCGAATTTCATCCATTTTTAAATTAGATATGTTCGAAGCAACAATTGAAGAATTTTTAATATAACTTCGGTATAAAATCTGGTGCAGGACATCATTGAAACATTCATTCGTAAATTCATTATTGTTGAATTTTTCTGCATATGTTCTTAATATTTCAACTGATCAAACTTAGACAAATAAGTTTAAATTTCGATGAGTAACATTTTTACAATATTTCGCTGTACTTTTTGCCCCCTGAATGAGTCACACTCACCCAGTTTTGTCCGGCAAAAAGACACTCTCTGCCCATGCTGTGGGCGAGAGAGTGTGCCAATACATGTATATTGTATATTGTCCATGTATATTGGACAATGTGAGCCATTTACTTATCTGAGTAAGCGTTAAAACTCTGAATCATGTACAAATTTTTTAATACTTTTCTTCTACGTTGCCATTGTACTCCAATGTTCACATTTCTACGCAGAATTCATCGGCAATCTTTCCCTGGGATCTAAATTACGAGCAGAAAATTCAATAAATTTCGTTAACGGTGACAACGTTGCCTGCAATTCACGACTAATTACTTTACTCTCACAGTATCTGATTTTTACTGAGTTTTATCACTTCTTTTATATTTTTTAAGCCTGTACTAATATATATTTGTTATCGTCATATTCACATACGGGATATTTTTTGGTCGGTAAATATTCTCCCGTCTAACTGTACACTCAGAGGAATGATGGAGACTTGGTCCAAATAGCGATGCACTCTGCGCCCTTATGGGGGTAATCCTAACCTATTTTGGCCAGGCTGAAATACATATTAGCGCTAGGTGCCAATAGTGTGTCACTATTTCCACAATCTGACACATTACTTTCCTAAATATACATGTACTATTGTGTACATGTACAATTGTGTGCATGAACAATTATGTACAGGTACAATTGTGTACATGCACAATTTGGTACACGTACAATTGTGTACATGTATAATTGTGTACATGTACAATTAAGTACATGTGCAATTGTGTACATGTACAATTGTGTACATATAAAATTCCGTACATGTACGTTCTGTACCCCAGGGCCTACAGTTGTGGACGTACAGATGTACTTCAACTCGTTCGGCTCGCTGAGCGCCGCTAATATGGTGAGTTACTCGAACAATTAAGTGAGTCATGATGACTCACTTAAATGCATCATAAGTTGGTCTAGAAATTGCAAGCGTCTAGTGCTAAAAGTACATGACATTTTAACGATGACGAATTCATTAAATATTTTTAATAATTTATTATTATTTATTTTTTAAAATACTTATTTTTGACAGGACTTCACGATAGATTTGTTCCTGCGCCAGCGATGGCGAGATCAACGTTTGGCCTACAGTGGAGGCCTACCCAGCTATACCATCATAGACCCTCAGGTAGGCCTACTGGGCTATACCATCATAGACCCTCAGGTAGGCCTACTGGGCTATACCATCATAGACCCTCAGGTAGGCCTACCCAGCTATACCATCATAGACCCTCAGGTAGGCCTACTGGGCTATACCATCATAGACCCTCNTAGATGTGTATAAGAGACAGCAGCTACACCATCATAGAACCTCAGGTAGGCCTGCCCAGCTATACCATAATAGACCCTCAGGTAGGCCTACTGGGCTATACCATCATCGACCCTCAGGTAGGCCTAGCTATACGTAATGTCATATAGTATTCATTAATATTTTATCCATGTCATATAGTATTCATTTTCTCTATTCACGCCACGGACTATTCATCGAATTCATTGTATTCATTCATATTGTGCGAAGTATTCATTGAATTCAAATGCAATATATTATTCTTAGTATCTATTCGAGTTTTGTTATAATAATTTTATTATTTAAATTCATATATAATATGGTATTAATTTAAAAAAAATTCGCAGCTGCAGCAAAAAATATGGAAACCCGATACGTTTTTCGACAACGTCAAGCAAGCGTCTCTGCACACCGTCACCGTGCCTAACGTCTTGTTACGTGTCAACCAGAGTGGTGACGTGTTATACAGCCTCAGGTGACGTGTTATACAGCCTCAGGTGACGTGTTATACAGCCTCAGGTGACGTGTTATACAGCCTCAGGTGACGTGTTATACAGCCTCAGGTGACAATATTATACAGATACTGTGACTAGATAAGATTAAAAATATTATATTACAAAATTATATAAAAAATGTTTTGCTTCCTTCATATACTTAAAATGTGTAAATAAGACACATTAATGTCTAAACCTACAAACTTTAAGGCTGCTGCTATTGAGCAATGGTAACAAGGCACGTTGCATGTCATTGTTTATTTTAACATTGTAATAGTAATCGAATATATTAACCGGTATTTAATATTTCCAGGTTAACCCTAACGCTAACCTGCGCTCTAGAGCTCGAACTCTTCCCATTCGACGCCCAACGCTGCTTCGTGAAGCTTTCTTCATGTCAGATTAACTACTATTTTTTATTAATTATTTATTTATCTAGGATAATGATAGTAATGTTATAAGTAATTTTAATTATTTTTGGGGAATATTATACCCTAATAATAATAGTATTACGAGTTAATATCACAGTTGGAAAACTGTCGGTATATATTTTTGTGAGAATCTTTACACAAATGGTGTAAAATTAGTATCGTTTAGCTTTGTGATAGTAATATTATTACCGAGATAATTTGATGAATTAATATATTTAATTTTTTCTTTGTGATAATATTTCACAATGAACAGCGAAATCCCAAACAGAAATTTCTTAGCTTACTTTTACTCTACTCAGTATGTGACAAATTCACTTCATTCATATTTCATCTACTTTCTTTATAGTTACTGAATGAGCATTACTGCTTTGGAGAATTTCTTTACTCGCTCAAGGTTTTCGTCACACACATTTATCTGAGTATACCTTTACAGACGCACATATGGACAACGTCATCAAATATTACTGGTGGCGGCAGGGCAAGGCGCTCGAAATCGACGAAAACATCGAAATCAGTCAATTCGACTTACTGGAGAACTACACTGAGGAACGAACTGTCGTACTTACAACTGGTAAGATTACTGCACCTCTCAGAAAAATAAGTGACGCTTGTCCATATAGCGATGCACAACTGCATTTGTGGGGATCATCGTGACCCAGTTGACCCGACAAAAGGACGTATTAGTGGTACGTACAGAAAGTGAGGCATTGTTTATACAACGTGATCTATATATATTTATGAGTGTGCTCTTGCTAATATAATTTTCACAGCAGAACCTTACTGATGAATGAACTGTCGCTCGCACTACAGGTAGCATTACTGCTCGGCCAGAAGAAACGGTAGAAAATGTTTACGGTATCATAACAAAATTTGGACGCATGCTAGACTCAGTATTAGGTCCCGCCTAGGACTCGAGGAGCACGTAAATTAGGCGCTCCATCTCACACTCTCAGGCGACTATAAAGTTGGAAAAACGATTCTGATCAAAAGCTGATTTCGATCGGGTGGCTTTGTAGACCCAGGATGTCTTGCAGCCGAGTGTAGCGACTCTTGGACCGAAGCCCAGACGGTACCGGAATTTTTTGAAGGTAGAGATGATAAAATATTCAAACTAGAGGCGGTCAAGATACGGTGCCCATCCTCCGTCGTTTGTCACGCAGATTAATTCTTGATGAGGTCGTCTGAAATTAGGAATATCATTTGATTAGTAAATTGCGATCAGATATAAAAAAACTGCAGACATTTCTGTAATAAAAAATTTCTGAACATAAAATGTGGCATTAGTTTTGGCAATGGGAACGACAGGCAACTGTTCAGTGAACTTAGAAGGTGAATTAGGCTGTCCAGTGAAACTTAGTTGGTTAGTTAGTTATGTACAGTTGTACATAGGCCGCTACGTGTAAATGATAGTAATTTTGATGGAACAGCTCTGAAAATACGGCAAATTCACCCTTCCAGTCGACTTAATCTGACGAAATTAAAAACTTCCAAATTGCAGGAAACTTCAGCGGCTTGACGGCGCATTTCGCCCTGCGGCGGCAGAACGGCTACCATCTCCTACAGACCTACATCCCTACCATCCTCATCGTCTCCATATCCTGGGTATCCTTCTGGCTTGACCCTAACGCAGTTCCTGGCAGGGTATCCTTGGGAGTGACGACCCTCCTAACCCTGACAACCCTGGCTTCTGGCATCAGGCAGTCCCTGCCTCCGGTGTCTTATGTCAAGGTTAGTAATTAAAATTATGAGCGTAATTCCATCAGTAAAAGACTTTGATTTTTCTTTCGTAACTAACTGTCTGAACATTCAATGATTGTAAGGAATTTTGTCTCGAATCTGCGATCGCTAACACATGTAATTATGTAAGCGAATTCGCATCACAGTTATTTTGGTAAATTTTAACTGGACACAATTTAATAGGTCGAGAATCTTAAATGCCATTATCCTTAAAAGTGCAAACTGAATGTGTTAAGCTCCATTACGTAAGCTAGAATCAGATGAAAATTTCAAATATATTATGGATTTTTCAATGTTAAAATTCTAATTTTACATTATTTATTACATTTTTGTAGCTTCTTTTCGAATGTTAACCAATTATTTCAGCTAAAGACTTTTTACGGCTAAAAATTGTTTTCAAGGGAATTTTTGGTGTTCGTGCGCAGGCAATCGACGTGTGGATCGGTGTATGCATGATCATGGTGTTCGGTGCTCTGCTGGAGTTCACCTTCGTCAACTACCTCGCCAACAAGAAGATGGTAGACTCGCGTCTACCTGAGATCATTCATCTACCAAGATGCGTGAGTATTTCTACTCGGTGATTCATATGTTACATTTGTCTCATAAAGATTTTTTCAGTAGCTATCTATTGAACTTTATAATGACCATCGATTGGTCATAATGAAAGTAACGATAGTTTCATACCATCAATATTATTAGTCAGCATGCATATTACCAATCGTCTATCATTAGAATTGGCATACATTATACCAAGCCGTTATAAATAATTTGTGTATGAATATAAGTAATCTAATTAGAGTTCCTCCTTAAAGCTAACGTGATGTCTTTTAACTACATGATTTTCTTTCAATTAATAATTTATTACTACATCAATTATTTCAAATTGTATTCTTCTTGCTAACAGTTGGCCGGATATCCGGAGATTGTGGAGGACCCAATAGCCGGTGAACAAAAGGTGAGGAAAATCGCAAAAAAAATTTGAATCCCCCCAAAAAAAACACATTGCAGGAGAATAAATCGCTGATAATACAATAACCAAGTAACTTTAAAGTTGACTAAATATAAACGGAAAAATGTGCATGATAGAAACTGGTCCTAAAGTTCAAAAATAGTAGAGGATATTGCCAAAGTTTTAGTTTTGTATATGAAGGAAAATAACAGCTTTTCTAGCCTGTTTGCAAAATTCTGTTAACAGAAGGAAGGTTACGGCTCTACCTACATCTTCTACGCTCGGGCCGTTGATCGTCTGTCCCGCATCGTCTTCCCTGGAGGCTTCTTGATCTTCAACCTCATCTACTGGCCCTACTACATCATCCTGCAGCGCGCCATAGCTTGACCGACATCTACTGGCCCTACTATATCATCCTGCAGCACGCCATAGCTTGACCGACATCTACTGGCCCTACTACATCATCCTACAGCGCGCCATAGCTTGACCGACATCTACAACATCTACTGGCCCTACTACATCATCCTACAGCGCGCCATAGCTTGACCGACATCATCTTAAAACTTACGACCATCGAATAAATTACTAACATCGTAGAACTTACGACTAAGCATTTTTTTTTAGACGTTTTTTAACTTCTTTATAGTTACTTATTAAGCCTCAGCGGCGCTGGAAGGTCCAGCCCAGAGCACCAGCTGAGCAGGGCTGTGTCACGGTGACGTCATCAGCAGCTGGACTCATGCACCAGCTGGACGCTGCGTGTACCAGCTGCTGGAGCCCAGCGTCGTATGTCCAGCGCTGGAGGGGGGGGGGTGGTTGTTATCTTTTTACTTTTCTGAAGTGTTTATATATTTAATGTTTATATATGTGATGTGAGATGCACGAACATTTTATATATATATTTGTTATTGTTGATTTTTTATTGTATTGTTTATTTGATTTAATTATTGACGTTAGACTGATTACAGCGTTGCTTATCTTATGGAAGGTAACATGCATGGTCGAAATTATTCTAGACTATGTATACAATTTTGTCCTAATGAACACCTGCACTTAAACTGTTATGATCCTCTGAATTATTATTGTTATAATCCTCTGAATTATTACTGTTATAATCCTCTGAATTATTATTGTAATAATCCTCTGAATTATTACTGTTATAATCCTCGGAATTATTAATGTTACAATCCTCTGAATTATTACTTCTAAAATTCTCTGAATAATTCTTGTAATTAATATTAAGAGATTATGTATGAAGCAATAGTGAATATTTCAATTCAATTGCTATCAGTGTTTGTTTTTTGAAGCAGTTCATTGTTCTACATTATAATTGCGAAGCAACGGTAAGCACTTATTGTAATAACAGTGTTATTATTGTAAACACGTAATATACAAGTAACATCTTCATATATCTAGAAATACCATTTAATTAACTCCTATATATGAGGCAGTGTCTAGGCCTGTGATTATCAATACGCATATTGCTATTAAAACAGCAATATAATGTTTTGTGATATTATGGTCAGTGCAATAACTTCTCTATTGTTGCTGACACTGACAGCAGCGATACAATAGCTTCTCTATTGTTGCTGACACTGACAGCAGCGATACAATAGCTTCTCTATTGTTGCTGACACTGACAGCAGCGATACAATAGCTTCTCTATTGTTGCTGACACTGACAGCAGCGATACAATAGCTTCTCTATTGTTGCTGACACTGACAGCAGCGATACAATAGCTTCTCTATTGTTGCTGACACTGACAGCAGCGATACAATAGCTTCTCTATTGTTGCTGACACTGACAGCATTACTGCTGGCGCCGCATGCTGCCAGCACCACCCTGGCGTCAGCAGGCGGTGATGACGTCACGCACAGCCCGTCAGCCATGAGACGTCCGTCTGACGTCAGGACGAACGTCGCAGCCTCGGAGCACTCGACGTATCCAAGCGTGCGCGACGTTCCCTGACGTCAGAAAACATTAATGCGTCATATAATTGTTTTCACCATCTGTTGTTTTTTTTTTGCTAAAATAAAAATAAACTAAATTTTTTTCACTATAAAATTGATAAAATTTCCTGGAGAGGGAAAAGGAACAATTATTCCTTCACTTAATTTGAATTTAACAAAAAATCTTTAACAGTTTATTTTAGGAAATTTACAAAACATTATAATGCCAAATTCATAAATAATAAGAAGCCATTGGTTCATTTGATTATTATATCTCAATTAAATGTCTATTATATATAACAATGATAAAATCTATTTACAATTCAAATATATTATTTAAATATATTACTCGACATTAAAAGTTACATTACAGCGCCTCTGAGGCTAGACTCTCTAGCCTCACTTCGAGGCTGATCCTCTGAGGCTCACCTTGAGACTGCGCCTCTGAGGCTCAGTGTAGACGACGACACTGAGGCACGAGGCACCATGCCTCAGTGTACCCTGCCTCAGTATGATGGGTGTAGGAGGCAGCAGTTCAGGATACACTGTCATCAGGTACCACGAGAAACTGCGACACTGCAGCCGCTGCTTCAGCGATAACTGCGTCGATATGCTGCCCATATCAGTAATAATTGCGATAAATAATTGTGATAAATAATTGTGATTAATTGATTTATTATTGATTTCGATGATTAATTAAGCTTAGTCATTGTGATGATTAGTTGCAATTGATAGTTGTGATGTTTGATTGTGTTTGATTGATTCGTTGCGATGAAAAATTAAGCTTAATAATTGCGATAATTGATTGCAATTAATCATTGCGATCATAAATCGTGTTAGATTGATTCATTGCGATGAATAATTAAGCTTAATAATTGCGATGATTGATTGCAATCAATCATCGGGATAAGCAATTGCGATTAATCATTGTGACGATTGATTGTGATTGATTGATTAGTTATTATGATTAATAATTGCAATTAATAATTGCTATGAATAATTACGATTTATCATTGCTATGTTCACGTTAGCCTCCATAGTTCACGGCAATTTCGAACGCTATTCAATAATTTCCACAAGTGCTAAACTTTAGAATTGCATTTGCCATTGAGTTACAGTTTCTTCAATATCACCATAATATGTTATAGATTCATTTACTACAATTTTTATTTCATTTACCAACAATTCAATATATTCTAAAATATTCAAAGTTGACTTACAATGCATTGATATATAAATATTGTAACTATATAAAATTGTTTAGTAAAATCAACAATTTGCATTTATTCTTTACAAAGTTTTCGCATGAAATTTCTTTAACAAATCAATAAATTTTGGGGAATATGACTCTTTTGTTACATATTACACAACAATATGACCCATTTGTCTTAATAATATGATCTCTTGCTGTAACAATATAACCCATTTGTCAGAGTTATATGACTCACTTGTTATAATATTATGACCCACTTGTCAGAATAGTATGACTCACTTGCCGTAGTTCTTGTAGAGCGCCTGAGGCCGCAAGTCGTAGTAAAACTTCTTGTATTCGTCCAGCCAGACCTCAGCGATGCGACGCGTGTTCCTGTTGATAATGTGATGATAATAATGGTGAAAATAATACTGTGAGGGTAAGGGGGTGAAAATAATGCTGTGAGGGTAAGGGGGTGAAAATAATACTGTGAGGGTAAGGGGGTGAAAATAATGCTGTGAGGTTACCGGGTGAAAATAATGCTGCGAGGGTACGGGGTGAAAATAATGCTGCGAGGGTACGGGGTGAAAATAATGCTGTGAGGTTACGGGGCAAAAATAATGCTGCGGGGTTACGGGGTGAAAATAATACTGCGAGGTTACGGGGTGAAAATAATGCTGCGAGGGTAAAGGGTGAAAATAATGCTGCGAGGGTAAAGGGTGAAAATAAGGCTGCGAGGGTAAAGGGTGAAAATAATGCTGCGAGGGTAAAGGGTGAAAATAAGGCTGCGAGGGTAAAGGGTGAAAATAAGGCTGCGAGGGTAAAGGGTAAAAATAATGCTGCGAGGGTAAAGGGTGAAAATAATGCTGCGAGGGTAAGGGGTGAAAATAATGCTGTGATGTTACGGGGTGAAAATAATGCTGCGGGTTTAAAAATTTTACATACGTTTTAAAATATTATCCAAAAATTTAATTCAGCTACTGCTTGAAAATCTAACGGTTTTGTAAGCTTTCGTTGCAGCAAAAGTAGTTAGAAATCAATTTCTATCATCAAATTACTTAATTAGGATAGTTTTCATGTGATTATTAATTGTTCGCTTCAGAATTTATGGAAACAATTTTAGTTACAAATCTATTTCTATTCTGAATATTTTAGATTGAAATGACGCCCCACAATATTTATTTTGTAGGGCTTCATACATTATCATAACTTTAATGAAAAATATTTTCATTAACTATCATTAAAACGTATGACAACCTCCGTATATTTTATCAGTTTATCCGTATTAATCTAATATCCTTGACGGCGCACGCTTGTCATATAGATAACCTTATACCTGAGAAGACCTCCAGTCTTGGAAGTGGGTCGCCTGACGAAGACGTGACCCACTCTGCTGCAGGGGGCGACCAGCACCCGCCCCCCACACATCCACGACTTGAGTGACATCTCTGAACGAAGGGCGGCCGAGTAGAACATATTTGAATGGGGGGAATGTTTATGGGGGATGAAGTTGAATTCAAGGGGGTTGGAGGGAAATTCGTGGGAGATGGAGGGAAATTCGTGGGAGATGGAGGGAAATTCGTGGGAGATGGAGGGAAATTCGTGAGAGATGGAGGGAAATTGGTGGGAAGTTGATGTAAATATTAAACAAGCGGTATTGATGGATTGAAATGTGTGCTCATTTTTCGTATGCGATTGATCTGCCTTGGATAATACAGGAGTATAGATCGCAAACTATAGTATAAATTAACACTATATGAACTATATATAAATTTATATCACATGAACCATAACATTAATTTTATCGCTGATATCTTTCATTACCGACTGTATCGCCACCGCGATCCTCGAAGCCAGGATCGTATCCTGCGATCTGATCCCAGCGAGCGCGCGCGATGAGGAAGGAGCCTCCAGCAAGCGCAGGCGTGCTTTAGTTCAGGAATTTTGGTTAATATTTTTCAGAAAAATATTATTTTGAAAAATTATTTACTAAAATTCGATTATCTTATGACCAGTTTCAACGACGGAAGATAATCGGCTGCCGAAAATTAGTAATAGAAATTTGTTTCAAAATTACAAAAACAATAAATGTTTGAAAATTATCGTGTATTATTCACTAAGATTTATTATCGACACGAAAAAACGTTTAGCGTTTACCTCTGTGCTTAAAAAAATGTAAATTGGCATCACAAAAACAGGTGCCGACATATTTTTTTCATTTGCAGTCTCAGTCTCTCTCATTTCAAGATATGAGATTTGCTAAAACACTGCGATTTAAACAATAAAATAATATACTTTTAAGGGGGTATAAAAAATGTGTAACGATTGAAAATTGCTTAAAGGAATTACTAAAAATTTTTAGTAATTATTTTAAGCAATGTCACTTTCTAACTATTCGGTTTAACAAAATAAATAGATGTGTCCCACTTAAAAATATTATGTAAAAATACTATTTTTTTATCAATGCCACCTTTCAACTATTCGATTTTGGCAATATAAATGGTATCGCAGATGTAATTTTTTGGATAAATGCAATTTTTTAATAAAGAGTTATCCAGTGAAAATTTTTTGAAAGAATACAATTTTTCAATAAGTGTAATTATTCAGTTGTATAATGTTTACCTGTATGGCTCAGTTGAGCTAGCCTGTCGTTTAGCCTCTGCAGGTATCCATCTAAACCGCAAACCCCAGCCAAAACCTGTTATTATTTCAATACTAGTTATTAGCATTATTCTTACTTCAATTGCGTCAGGATGTTAGAGTTTTTTTTTTTTTCATTAAATATCCCATCAAAATCAACATAATTAATTTCTCAAATAATCTCTTGGTTTTGAAAATTTCTAATAATCTCCACAATCTAGAAGATAACATGTTATTGTTGGTTTAAGCAACATTTAGCTTCTATATCAGGCATTTTGTTTTAAATTGTATTTCAGTGAATGCTATATTTGAAATAAGGCATATGAATTATGAAGGCGGATTTTAAAAATAGCTATTTTGTGTGCAAAGCGAAAATATAAAATTATACGTGTAATTTGAATCTATACAATACATGAGTACAGAGTATTTTATGTGTTTAGCGAATGAACTGGTTAAGTGATTACGCTTCATTGTTTGTAAACATAAACACGTCTGTGTAATATTCAGCGAATTAAATTTTCAATGTGAATATTTAATTTTTAGTCCTTGTGTTAAATTAAAAATCCGTTCGCAAAATTAACATTACGCGGGTAAAATTTACTTTATAAATGTATGTAGATATGTAAACATTAGATCTGTAAAACTAAAGCACAATGTTTCAGAACTATTTACCCTGTATCACCGGTGGAAGCAGCCTACATGCAAAGAAATGTAGAGACTTTGTCAACATCGCTACTTTGTTTAGGTCATCTTAACTCAATTAAGCCCATCAAAAATAGTGCTAATTCTTCATGCAGAAATTAGGTCGTTATTTTGAAAAAAACTTACAAATTTGTACGAAAATTTCCTGTATTTGAACATAATTTTTTAATTTAATTTAAAAAATTAATTTAATTTAAATAATATTATTAATAATGTAGCAACACACCTGCTCTCAGGAGGTCGTTGGTAGGACGGTACTCGAGCGTCTCAGGCGCGATGATGTCCAGCACTGGCGACACTAGCGCGTCGGGGCTCTGGGGGCATACAGGTGCTTGTACACGGGGACACTAGTGGCGGCCAGTACAACTTTCAATTTACCACCGCCATACTTAGTGCCACTATTTACCGCCACTATTTACCGCCACTATTTTTACCGCCGCTATTTACCACCACTATTGAATCGATGTTTAGGCATTTCTGGCCACAGAAGGACATAGTCATCTTCTACACGAGGCCAGTGGCAGAATAATTAGTCACAACATTGATAAGTTGTACTGGCCGCCACTACTGGCCACGTGTACAATCAGCTTGCGTGTCGCGACTTGAGAACTGGGGAGCTGAAACCCCTGGGTGAAAACTTCTTATTTGGGAAGGCATAAAGAAACTTGAGAAATAAGTAAGAGGCGAAAATTATTACATTAGTAGCTAGTAGGGATTTATGATCACGACACATCTCATGGATCATGCCACACGACAAGATGCCACACCGTGATCATGCCACACGACATGATGCCACACCGTGATCATGCCACACGACATGATGCCACACCGTGATCAAGCCACACGACATGATGCCACTCCGTGATCATGCCACACGACATGATGCCACATCGTGATCATGCCACACGACATGATGCCACATCGTGATCATGCCACACGACATGATCACGGCTATAATCAATGAGAAGCAACAGGCGTGCTTAATCTATTGCAATGCTACGAGTATTATCACTCAGAAAAATAAGTCAAATCTTGTCCCTAAAGCGATGTAATTTTTACCTTTGTGTGGGTCAACGTTACTCAGCTCGGAAAGGGTAGCGTATCAGTGCTACGCTGATACTTTGCTCGTACTGAGGGTTAAGAAAGTATGTCGCTTTTTAGACAATCTGGCACACTCATGTTTCTGAGTGTAGGTTCTTCATTACCCCTGCGGTGAAGTAAAGTTGAGTAATGCTACCTCACTCATTACTCATGGAATATTACCTCGATCCATCACATTGACTGGTTGGTAATTGTCTACCTCGTGACTCATCTTTGATAATTCGTAACGCTGCTTCCTAATAATTTACTCATGAGTACACTGAAGAAAATGGATGGGTCACATTTTCCAAATAGTGACACACATGCTGCGTGTAGCACTCATACGCACTTTTTTAGGGCCAAACTGGGTCAAGACGACTCCCATAAGGGTGAATATGCATCGTTATTTGGACAAAGACTGTCAAGGAACACGATGTGTGAGCTGCCGCTGCCTGCCGCAGCGCCTCGAGCGCGCGAGGCTGTCACGCCTGTAACGGTAATGGGTAATTGATTAATTCTATAGTTAATAAGTTGCACCTCAAATGTAACATTAATGAGTAATTGCTTAATTCTATAGATAAAAAGTTGCACCTTAACTTTAACGTTAATGAGTAATTGATTGATAACATTGTTAATAATAAGTATCACCATGACTATAATGGTAATGACTAATTTACTAATATCACACTAGAGTTAAGAGTTACCGAGTTGCACTATATAACTTATCTTTAAAGTCATCAAATAATGTAGCAAAGTACCATTGCAATTAGCACTTACTAATTCATAATTACATAAAATTGCATGTGGTTTTATATGATATTAAATAATTTTGCATTATTAAATAAATATTTTATTTATCTTATACTAAGCTTTAGAAAGAAACTGACCGATTTTCTGCTCGTTCCTGAGCTGCAGCAAACGCGGTATTGGCGTCTCATCAGTGGGCTGGAAAGCTGCTCAAAAATAATTAATTAAATTACAGTTAGTTACATTATTGCGTGGGCAAGTTTATTAAAAATTCAAATCCGACTCGTAAAATACGTCCCACGCTTCAGTTATTCTAGTAAACAACACGTTTGACGGAACAGTCAGTCGTGCAAACAACACGTTTGACAGTTCGTTGAGTCGGGTAAAAAAAATTCGTTTGATGATTCAATCAGTCAAGAAAACAACACTATCGATGATTCAGCCGAACGTGTGAACAGCGCGTTCAACGGTTCAGTCAATCGTGTGGACAACAAGTTTTCGACACGTGTGACAGTTCAGTCAGACGCGTCAACAACACGTTCTCGACACGTTCGAGATTCTCACGTGTATCAGACGCGTCGTCGACGAGCACAACACTATGCAACAGCCGCGCCGGCGTCTGGCGCATCACTGACGCAACGGTGCGCAGGAGGGTCGCCCGCCGTTCGTTGCGGTGCGCGATCACGACGCTCACCCGAACCCCGTCCGGGATTGCGGAATCCGGAATATCGCGGCACCTGTTTTCAATATTGTTAATAAATTTCGATATTTAAACAATGTACGTTTTTGTACATTTTAATTTACGTAACATCTGATGATATATATTATTCATCATTGAATACTGGAATATTGCGGCAACTGTATTCAATATTATTTTTACATTCAATAATTATTTGTTCTATATTATTATATTCCACAAATTTCTATATAATTTAATAAAATATGTAATTGGTTATTGAATAACGATATGCAATAACAAGTTAATAATTATCTATTTATTGATTTATAAAAGTAACGAGGCAATTCAATTTAAAATAAAATCAAGTTCCAACTTAAAGCAGAAAAAGTGTACTAATTCAGGATCGCTTAGCATTAGATTGTACGGACCTTTTCTTCCACATAGAGACTAAATAACAATTCTGGTAAGAATAGCATTAGTGATTAGTGATTGGTATGTCGATCAGTATGGAACTGAAATTAGCGCCTAGAAAATAAGTGAGTCAAACTAGCGCCTATAGAAAATGCCAAAAGGTGCACCGCTTCTTGGACAAAGTCCCCTCATATCTCTGAGTGAGTGGTGCAGGAGTGGTTAGTGTCTCGCTACTCACGCTTGTGGTCTGGTGTCTGGCACTCGTCTGTCGAGTGGTAGTCTGTCCGACAGCGAGTGGTTGTGAGTGGCGACGTTTGCTTCTTCGGATTTAAATGACGAATCTTCAAAAATTTTTGGTAATACAACTGAAATATTTGATTTACCAGCAGCCATGTTGTCGTTCAATGGAGATTTAAATTCGGAAGTTACTTTGCCTGGAAATTTTGTTCCTTTGTCGAAATTCTTAATTGGAATAAATGATGATGATGGACGTAAATACTGATGCATGGTCCTGTTGATGAAGTTTGAAGACTTAAAAGGCCTTATTTTCTTGCCCTTGAATCGTGTCAAGGCGTTGATGTTGACTATGGTTTGGCCAGCGTCGGTAGCGCCTTGTTTCAACAGGCTGTTGACTTTCCAAAAATCAAGCGCTCCCTTTGAATGCCATTGCTTTTTTAATGATGATTTACTCTCGTCATTATTTAATTCAATATTTCCTTTGACTTTTGATAAATCCTTGTTTGCCAGATATTGACCTTCAAGGTCTTTATTATCAATTGGTCCTTGACTCTTTTTTCCCTTTTGATACTCCGTTGCCTTTTTGATTTTTTGCTCCTTTTTCAAAAATTCTTGTAGCTGCCCGAGAAAAGTTGCGTTAATTTGAATAGTTTGAATAGTTGAATAAAGTATAATATAATATACGAATAAATCAATATGGCGGAGGTACAAATAAATTTAAGTGATATCTCGACTTACGAACATAATTCGTTCCGTGACAGTGTCCGAATGTGGCAGGGTTCGAAAATTGGTATTTAGTGTGTAATAACACAATTAAATTAATATAGCAACAAATTGGTTCAGAAATTTAGTTCGCAAACAGAAACATGTTCGTATATGAAACTTAAAAAATCTCGAACTTAAGGCCCTTATGCCGAAAAATTCACGAGTCGAGGAATCACTGTAATGCAATTTTTTATTAATAATAATAAAATTAATAAATAATACATTAATATGTACCCACCTCGTGGTGAGGGGAGGGGTCCTCATCCCCCAGATACCACATGGCGAGATCCCTCAGATCGTCCTCTGACACAAGCCTCCCCTCGTTGCCCCACGGTTCCTCCCCATCACCGTGCACCAACCCCCAGCTCCCCTGGGGGGGGGGAAGTCGCAATACGCAGTAATAATTACTTTACTGCTGACAGTGCGCAGTGATAATTACTTTACTGCTGACAGTGCGCAGTAATAATTACTTTACTGCTAACAGTGCGCAGTAATAATTACTTTACTGCTAACAGAGCGCAGTAATAATTACTTTACTGCTATCAGTGCGCAGTAATATTTACTGTCACTAGTATGTTAATTACTTCGTTAATTAGAAGACTGTAATTTTTATCTCGCCAGCCATGGCAGCTGAGCCTGTCAAGGATGACCTGGTAGAAATAGCATTAAAATGCACAAGCAATTCGCTTCAGCAATTCGAGGGCTGATATAATAATTGATGTTCATTAGTGTTATGTTGAAGTAACTTATTTATTAATACTTCCAACATTTATGTTGGCAGTTGAACATAACCTTATGATTCATTATTTAATATTTAGATAATTTAATAATACATGTTTGCTATGTATTATCATTATTATTATTATATTATATTATATTATATTATATTGACTTTAAATATGCGCCTTTTCAATAAATCGTTGATCAATCAAATAAAAGTGAACTTTTATTCCACTGAAAACAATCACAGAAAATACACATCCAACAGATTATTTATTACTAAAACAGCAAATACATATCATAACGGAATAGAATTCCTTTGAATAGATTCAACAAAATTTATGCATTTTACCGCCACAACATATGTACATTCGAAAGATTCCTGGATAATTATAAATCAAAAACAATATAACACGTTTAGTTTTGTATATTTTTATAAGTCATAATATAAATTATATATGACTGTTCTCGTCGTAACCATCACACACGGAAAACTAACACAGAATATTCAATCAATGCAAAGTGATAATCGAAGGTCAAAGACGCTATATTGCTTGGTCTTTATTCAAGGTCTTTGCGTGGTGCTTTAATTAAAGCAGTTACTGCACGCGCCTCGAACTGTCGCAGTTACTGCACGCGCCTCGAACTGTCGCAGTTACTGCGAGCGCCTCGAACTGTCGCAGTTACTGCAGCCTCGAACTGCCGCAGTTACTGCGAGCGCCTCGAACTGCCGCAGTTACTGCGAGCGCCTCGAACTGTCGCAGTTACTGCACGCGCCTCGAACTGTCGCAGTTACTGCGCGCGCCTCGAACTGCCGCAGTTACTGCACGCTTGCTGCGCCACGCACGCATCATCGATTGCACTGCGCATGTGGTGCAATGCGGTGCATTTGTGGTGCATTCTTCTGCATTCGTGGTGCACTGCAGTGGTGCATTCATGGTGCACTGCAGTGCAATGCGTATTCCTGATACAATAAAGTATTGTTGCTTCAGTTGTGCATGATTAATATTGCGCTGGTGAGGCCTATTGCATCATTTCATCATTTGCACCATCTTGGTTCAAGCAATGCATCATAATGGTGCATCATTTGACATCATTCCATCACTAACTTTCAATGCAACGGCTCACTGAATGCACCAGCCATCAACTGACCAGCAGTGTCGGCAGAAACTGGTTACTTTAAACGCTGACTTTTACTAAAATTATTATTGTCTGTTAAACATCAGATTTTTGCTTAGTAAAAGTATTTATTAATATGCAACTGAACGTTTAATTTGTGGTTACATTGACGATTTATTCATGCAGAAGAGAAAGTTTAATTTATGGTATATGGGAATATCTAATTATTTAAATATGCTTCTATGACATTTTAAGGCACTGCGTTCAAAGCAAAACTTTCAACACTCGAGTATTGCGTATGTTATTTGTACGATCGACGAAGCAAAGTTCAGGCACATGCAAATAACTAAAATTTAGCGTTAATCCTGCAATTGATTACAAACATTTCAGTTCGAAATCTTACCACTAAAAATTCAGATCATATTCATGATAAAAAAGAATATGTTGGAGTGATTATATAGCGAACTCATCGAAATAATCCTCTGCAACGACATATTCGAAATCGAATTATTTTCGTACAGCTATTTTCAAATAATTTTTTTACTTATCAAAACTGTCATTTCTCAAAATTATTTACAACTTTATTCACCTTTTCCTGCTTTTCTGTGCTTACTAGCATTTTTCGTTGAAGTAAAAACCGGTTCACAGAGACCGTTTGTAGGTAGTCTCTTGCTAGTCTGTTCGTCGTGAACTAACTTTGATTAGATGCTGGTGTTAGTTTCGTTGAATGCGTTCTCTCACTTGTGATGGTGTTATTTATGAACCTTGTGTTGATAATATATTCAGTAATATTACTACCAATAAGGTATCAATGCTGCATTTTGTTAGCGTTTAGGATTTTCGGTTTCAGAACCTCCTCTGGTTAAGTTATTACGACCAATTGATCAGTGCCTGACATTTTCTAAGTTTCTCTATACCCTTGCAAGCATTATAATTTCGCAGCAGTGTCTTCATTACCGAAAAAGTTGTGAAAATACCGGAATGCTTGGTAAAGTTTCGTTAGTTTTGATATGACTGGCGCTGATGTACGGGCGTTTGGACCAATCACCGTCGCTCTTACAACGAACTATTGCAGGTAAGACTCTTTAATTATGAAAACGCGCTACTAAATGCCTAACGTCAATGCCACTGAAGTCGCCCGCCACACAACTTATGTTGCCGCGACGCCGGCCTTCAATAGAATCGATCCATTTTATTAACAAAACCGAACCACAATTTCTGGCAAATACCGAACAGCTTCGTATTTATTTTATGGTAAACGAACACTACGCACCGCAGTTCTAACCAATGTTGTTTTTATTGGCGAGCGGCGAGCTAAGTGCACAATGGTGGCGACTTAAATACGTGTCATTGATGGGTAAACTTTAGTTTACGTGGAACACTACTGTGCAAAAATAAATATTAGTCCATCGTTAAATTTAAGTTTCATTCTTGATCAATCGAATATTTTTATTCAAAGTGAATTGGAGGCTTGACTTGTTTGTCCCAATACATAATTCATTTTCAACTAATATTCATTTCATGATTAACCTCACATTTGAATTAAGCTGATGATTTCCATCACGATTAGGTTATAGTTTAATTATTAAACTATCGATCGATTTTTTCGATCACTAATTAAACTTTAATTAGAGATCGATAAAAGCGTTCTCTTTTTGACCGAATTTATACACAAAGGTTAACTTGAAATTTAACTTGCTATCAGCTTATCAAATGAAACTCATCTTTATCAAACTTCGCTTCTGAATCGTCCATGGAATAAATTGTGCTAACGATATTTTTTAATCAAACAATATTTATTAATTGAACGATATGTAAGTCAATAGAATTAATATTAATAATGAGGCGATATTGATTAATTAGCTGATATAATTCGATTTATTAGCGATATTTATCGACCAAATATTAATTTGCGTGGAAAATATTTAACCTTACTAACGTTTTATACAGCTTGACTGTGGGTATAAATAAACAACTCATGGATTTTTTATAGATTAAATATTCCTGAGTGAACGAATAATAATTTCAGTAATATTCAGTAGTTGAAAATTACAATTATCTGCCGCCATTTAATGATTGATCGTCGAGTGGTTTGGCTTTAGATGAATTTTTTATGTGTACACTAATTATTTTCGCATTAGGCGAGCTCGCGCACTGAACATGAATTTCTGCTTTATAAACTACCACTTTTTTATCCGGCCCATTGATTATGTTCACGCACGATATATTCATATTATGATTTTGTGATTAAAAATAACGATATTTGAAACAATAGTGGATCTTAAATAACATTAATAAATTTGAATACATTTTTATATGCTGAAATACTTCAATAATTCACAGTCGTATAACAACATTTTAATAATTCTAAGATGATAACGAGGAAAAACATTATATTATAATAATATTCATAATTGCAAGCATTTGTCGTTGCCAGCAATCGATAGCAATTGATTCGTGTGTGCGAAAATAGCTTCAGCAATTTCAGTGCTGCAGAAGATGCCATAATTTGAATGCCCGCAGTCATTACTGATCTTACCGATCAACCCTGAAGATCAAAGCTAAACTGAACTTCTTCAGAGCGCTAATGAAAAATTCTACGTGTTTGGTCGTGTTGTGAGAATGTCGCTTATTTCTGGAATAGAATTTTATTCCGCGCATCTAAATGACAGTATTCTGTCATTCTATTTCTTGTCGGTATCCTTAGATTCTGCCAGGAAATTGATCGACGTTATTGCAATATTTTCAGTCGTCAACATAGCAATTTTTTGTGATTTGGAGTATTTATAATGTAAAAATTTTATGGCAAACGTGAGATTTTTCATATATTTTTTTGCATATAACAGTTGTTGAAAATCTACTTTACTAGATGAATGAATTCTTTAAAGTAATCAGATATGCTTTTATTTTCCAATATCTGTTATAATAATTATCCAGTCGTTATGCACATCTGGTATCAGTGATATTTCAATTTCAGTGTTATAACCAGCAATATTTTATTTTGAATAATAAAATAGTAGCATGTGAAGGTATTTACATTTGGTAGTGATGACATTTCCGAAACAGAAATTTTACTCAATATTTAGTGAAGGGTCTAAATGGGGATCTAAATAGGGGTCTATGTGGAGGCCTATATGGGGTCTAAATTGGGGTCTATGTAGAGATCTACATTAGGGTGCAGATAGGGGTCTAATTAATGTTCTAGATAAGGGTCTATATAGGGTTCTAGTTAAGGGTCTACATAGGGGTCTAGATAGGGATCTTGATCGGGGGTATAGATAGGGTGTAGATAGGGCTGTAGAAAGCTGTATAGATAGGGTCTAAATAGGGACTAAAAGGGGGTATAGATAGCGGTTTATATATGGGTCTAGAAGAGGGTCTAGATAGCGGTTTAGATAAGGGTCTAGAAAAGGGTCTAGATAGGAGTCTTGAAAGGAGTCTTTATAGGGGTCTAGATAGGAGTGTAGGTAGGGGTCTAGACAGAGGTCTGGGTTAAGGTGTAGGCCGGTGTATTGGTAGGGACTAGATGGGGTCTACGTATATAGTTAGGGGTCGGAACAGAAGTCTAGAATGGAGTCTAGATAAAGGTCTTTGTAAGGGTCTTGACAGAGAACTAAATAGGGGTATCGAAAATGTTTTAGATATTTTTCTAAATAAGGGTCAGATCAGTGTCTATATAGAGGTAGGGGTCTAGGTCCCCAATAATAATGTATCGAGGTTGGGTCGTAAAAATAACTGATACGGACCCAATTTGACAAATTGAACTCAGGCCACCAAGCGAGCAACGCGTGACTGAACGATTAGTTTGGCTTCAAATGCACGGCAAATTGGTTTGCTGCGTTGGTTTAATTTCAAGGTTAGAGAACCAACGTTTGCTGCGTTGGTTTAATTTCAAGGTTAGAGAACCAACGTTTGCTGCGTTGGTTTAATTTAAAGGTTAGAGAACCAACGTTTGCTGCGTTAGTTTGACTTCAAGGTTAGAGTACGAACGTTTGATGCGTTAGTTTGAGTACCAGGTTAGAGAACCAACGTTTGCTGCGTTGGTTTAATTTCAAGGTTAGAGAACCAACGTTAGCTGCGTTGGTTTAATTTCAAGGTTAGAGAACCAAAGTTTGATGCGTTAGTTTGACTTCAAGGTTAGAGTACGAACGTCTGATGCGTTAGTTTGAGTACCAGGTTAGAGAACCAACATTCGAATCGTCGGTTTCATCTATTTTACCATAAAAATTCTATATATGGCAATAAAGATTTTAATAAGATAATTATCGCCAGATATATTGTCCTGTATGTAATTATTATGTTTATACTAAAATTAGGTTTAGATTCACACACTTACTTTCAATGTCGTTAAAAAGCTGAAACAGCGACTGTGAAATGCAAAAAAATAGCTAAGATAGAAAATTGTGTAGAAACGCGTGAAGAAATCAGCAGAAAACAGGCGGCTCGAGAATGTACAAGAGCTGTACCGGAACTGTACACAAATTCTACCGAGGCGTAGAAAAACTGTACAAAATCTGTACCGGAACAGTTCATAACTGTACCGAATTTGTACAGAAACCGACCAAGAATGGAAAAACTTCACAGAAAATATGACAGGACTGTACAAAAACTGTACCGAGACTGTGCAAAGCCCGCAGCAATCGATTCTAACATCAGAGTACACTTACTCTATTTTTGGCCGCTTGATTGTCAGGTTCAGAGACTAACAAATTTGTAGTGCGTGCCTCCGGACACCAGCGTAATAATATAATGTCATAGCTAGCACAAGATTCTGAATATAGAAGCTAATATTCTCTAGTATATTTTATTTTTTAGCTAATATTATTATTACATATTATTTTCATATTACCTGATGTATCGGTATTTTTATATTATGCTATTCTCACGACATTATATTTCTAGGTGACCCGAATTCCCGTACTTTTAAAGTGGTTATTACTAAGACGCACAATTTTCATAATACCTAAAATACCTTCCTTTAATTAAATCCGTTAATCTAAAAACTTTTTATTTATAATACTTTATTTATCGGCCGTCTCTAAAACATAATTTCATGACTACAATTCATGCAGAACAGAGTAATCCAGAGATGACTTAATCCAGATAATCTCATCACGAGTCATATTCAGTAATATATTTTATTTATATCTCGCCTATAACAAAGCTCTTTAAACTCTATAACTTTTTAGGATTAATGTTGAAGAAGATGATCAACATCATCATGAGTAATTTATTTAATACCCTAATCACTGCTATTATTGAATGGGTCAACAATTTAACAGATAAGCATGCAAACAACGACATAGTTTTAGTTAATTATTCACTGCATACATGGCCCCGCATGTCTTCAAAATTTAAAAAAATAATTAATGTTAACGCGATTCAAAGAAATTAATTTAATTTACTAAATTTAATTGTTAATGATATTAAATGTTTTATACGAGCGCTAAGCAGCGTGGCAATGCTGAGGTATGCTGCACGGCTGCTGCTGCACTCACCTGGACCGCAGCACGGGCGCCCAGCAGCATGGCAATGCTGAGGTATGCTGCACGACTGCTGCTGCACTCACCTGGACCGAGCGTGGCAATGCTGAGGTATGCTGCACGACTGCTGCTGCACTCACCTGGACCGCAGCACGGGCGCCCAGCAGCATGGCAATGCTGAGGTATGCTGACAGGATGATGCCAGCAACAACCGCAGCCCTTCTCAAGCAGCGCGACATGATGCGCATCCCGCTTCTGCTCTGCAAGAATTAAATAAAAATATTATATTATTTTTATCAGAAACACATATTTTTCTTTTGACGAAAAGATTTTTAAATTAGTCGTAGAAATTTTTTTCAGGAAATTCAGGAAGCTTTGTCATTTCCTGAAATGCATAAGCATTGGTGTTCGTTTTTGAACAATAAATCAAGCTCCATTTTTACGAAAAACTCGTTTTTCCTCGGAGAAATCGGTGAAATAAGTGGGTCATTGTCCAAATAGTAATGCACTTTTGCCATTGTTTGGGTCATCTTGACCTGGTTTTGTCCGGCAAAAGGACGTTTTAGTGCTGCGTACGCTCTGTGCCCATGCTGTGGATAAGAAAGTGTGTTATTATTTGGACAATTTACCCATTTATTTTGGGTGCAGCAGCCATTCAAATAACCGGAAATGTTGTAAGACGATATCGCCTTTTTTCATTCTGACCAAAGAAGTGCTTGAGAAAGTTGCTCGTAAAAAGTTTATCTTTGATATTTTTTTTTATTTTCGACTCTGACTACTAAACATGTAACAATAAATAATTGTATTTATAGAAGTTCTAACGCTACCGCTGCAAACTTTGGGCAATTCAATCGTCCTTAAGTGAGTTTCAAGCGTCAGTTTGACGTCAATCTTGAATAATTTAGCACTAAAGTTCTCGCCTTTCGGGCGAATAACAATATTTAATAATAATAGGAATAGAGCAATATTAATAACAATAAAAATAATTACTAGTAATAGAAGCGATTTACTTTAATACGCTTGTGAATAAGTTTTATAAGTTTCTTGCTTTGGCCATATGGTGCGTGTATATTTATCTATAATGATCGATGTTAGATTATCGGTGAATATATACTTGTGACGTCTGCCCAATATTAAGTATTAATAATGACAGGTTATAGCAATAAATATTGATGTGTGACGTGGGTAGTTTGGACGTCGTTACCAAGCCACCGGGTTGTGGATTCTGAAGGATCCAAGTAACCAGAGTTGCTGTAAACAAAAGATGGTTTTGTGGTGGTTACAAGTTAACTGTAAACGTGGGATGGTTTGTGGTGGTTACGGGTTAACTGGTAACGTGGGATGGTTTGTGGTGGTTACAAGTTAACTGGTAACGTGGGATGGTTTTGTGGTGTTTACAGGTTAACTGGTAACGTGGGATGGTTTTGTGGTGGTTACAAGTTAACTGTAAACGTGGGATGGTTTTGTGGTGGTTACAAGTTAAGTGAACCGATGTGTTAGCTTACGTGAACCGATGTGTTAGCTTACGTGAACCGATGTGTCCGTTTATGTGAACCGATGCGTTCGCTTATATGAACCAATGTGTACGCTTATTTGAACCGATGTGTTCGCTTATTTGAACCGATGTGTTCGCTTACGTGAACCGATGTGTTCGCTTATTTGAACCGATGCTTGTAAACAGATCTAACAGCTCTAATGAGAATCACTTGCAAGCAAATAGCATGCAGATGCTTTCCTGTGAACTGATTATTCTTAACCATTAACCATTCTTATTAGCAATATTGCTGATTAATTGTGTGAACCAATTTCACATGCATTCTCATGAACCGATTAATTGAATAAATGATAGTAGGAATAATAATAATAATGACAAAATTATTACTAAGACTTAGGGTACAATTTTTAACATGTGGCACAATTTTAGAAAGAGATTAGCTCTGAAAACTAAAACTTTACTTTCTTCAATAAATTTGAGGAATCTGGAGGAAATACGTCTCCGTTCAAAATCTAATTTCTCTTACGCGTTAATTTGCATTTGATGATGATTATTTTACATAAACTTATATGGTAAAGATGATTATTGTATAAATTAATGATATTAGTGTAATAATATTTCAAATAAATTTTATTAAGAATAAGAATTATAACTAAAATGATTCATGTAAAATATATACATTATTTTATACTTTTTAGAACTGTTAGGTTTTTCCCCTTGAACTGTTTACCGATTAAAAGATTCACTTAACATAAAATTTCCGTGTAATTAATCCTGAATAAACGCTTGCGAGCCTTCAATATTTCTCCAAATATCGTCATTAAGTAACTCAGAAACTCGCATAAGTTAAATGAAGACACATAATGAGCATCAAAAAATGTACAAATGCTGTTTATTGTCGTTAAATATATTTATTTTTGAAGCACATCCAAACCGTTTGCAAGATTGTCAATTTCGCCTATATTAATAAAAGATTAGCTATGATTTTATTTACGCTCTACGTAGGCTTGGAACAAGCTGGTTCCTTACGTGAATGAGAGAAGCTGAAGTACACACAACCTTTCTGGGGAGCGGCTTGCGACGCACTGACCCGACCTGCGTCAGCGACCACCGTCACACTGTGACCTGGCACGTGTCGCCCTGACGGCAAGACCAGGCAAAAAACTTTGGTACTTTGTAATGTTCATAGTTACATTAATGATTATTGGTTTAGATAGTGTTTATTGCTTTACTGTTTTTGCATTTCACTTTGTCCATTTTTACGGTTTGTCTTACTTGCCTTACTATTTCGCATGTTGCAGGAAGCACGAATGATGATCACTAATATTAGCTGACGAATGCAAAAAAATTAGTTAATCTAAGCATCTAAAAAAACTGAACACCGGTGTTGCTAAGGTACATATGCAAAAGTAGGATGAACTAAAAGGAAATAATTTGAATTATTGATCGTTTTCAACCAGAAAATTAATATTTTTTATTTCTGTTTATAGACTGGCAAACTTAGACAACAATGTAAGTAGGAGAGTATTGCATGACGCTGACAAATGTAAAGTTATCCACCTTGGCAAGAATAATGAACAGCAAGATTACAGTATGAGAAGACACGGTTGCAACGACAGAGTGATGATGTCGAAGTCGATAACGGAAAAGGATTTAGGAGTTAAACGTTGGAACACATCCATGCGACAACATTTCTTCTCGCTTCGAGTCACCGACATGTGGAACAGCCTCCCTGATAGCAAAGTTGACGCTCCGAGTATGAACATCTTCAAAAACAGACTAGACGAAGCTATGCAGGAGCATATGTTCTGTCTTAAAATGCCTAGCAAATTACGGACCAGGTAATAAGTCCAGCAGCTATCTCAATCAATCGTCAGCTATGGAAAGATTGGGTTCCAAAGGCCGGATCCCTTGTAAATCAAGTCACGAAAAGTTCAAGAATCGGCAACAGGCCATGGGCCTATTTCTATTTCTTCAACGCCGACACTCCTATTCTATTCTATATTCTATTCTATAGGAGCATCTGTGGCAGGTCTATTCAACTGCCTACTTGGAGGGATAAGCGGAAAAAAGTCATAGCTATTTTTATTATAATTATTATTATGATTTGTTATTTTTTCTACGCGTTTCCATACCTTAGCACAGCCCCACAAGTTGGCATTTTCCACAGCCGTTAAACTTTTTAAAGGAAACACTTTCCTTCAACAAGGTTCAGGTCATGCAATACTCTCCATGCACCTTTAACGTGATCAGGAATCTGTTCACATGTGAACTGATCAGTAAACATCTACGTGTCGAAATGTGTCAACCAATCGATATAAACTGTGAAAACGAAAAATGTCCCGTAAAAAAATCGAAATGACAAACAATACCGTTTTAATTAAGTCTGTATCGTTAAGTCTCGTTAAAAATATCTACATTCTGCTAAATTTCGAAGCTCCTATTTCTTCCGGGACGTCTCATTTCGGCTTCGTCCCGAATTTTCATCGATAATTTAAAATTGTCGAAATTTTTATCTTTTATGTATGTAATAATGTATTGTGAGTAATTTTAGGATCTTCCTGTCTAGAATAAAAATTGCAATGCGATGTAAATGTGCTCGAGTTAGTAATTTTTGCGTGCTCAGTGGAGCGCACTGTGTTCTGGCAAACCCGTGATTTAACAAAGTAACTTTCAAGTTCAAACCTAACATCGATGTTTCTTTCTGTTCGGTGCTTTCTGAAAATAAATTTATTATGAGCTACGTGACTTGACACCAATCTAACGAAAAAATAATATTTTATGTTTTTTTCAGAAAATGCAATCCAATGCGCTGAACAATAAAATTTTCTGAATTTAAGGGAGCTGCCGAGCTGATACCTAAATCATATAGCACTTAAATTTATTTTGGTTTACCCTCGAATACTTGACTTTGAAGTTTTTCTAATCAAAAGTTTTCTTTCTCTCTGGCGCACAACCTAAACTAAAACACAAATGATCTGTAATTGGTTCGATATAATAAGAGAACGAGAAAGATTTAATTATTGACTTCAAATCTTTGGATTGGGTTGCTTGCCGATTATAAATTATTGGAAATCATAATTTCTCGATTACTTTTTAGATAATTTGAACTATGATTCAGCAGGCCAAATTTAGCTAGGTTCAAATATTATTACCGCAAAATTTTTAACCCGTTGTTCCATTTTTGTTCGTTAGTACTTTATAAATTTTTCTCGTCCTAAATTATCATTTGTAAATGTCCTGATCATTTTCTAAATTTTCCTATGCGCAAAGTCTTGAGCATTTGTAATCATTAATTTTTAGCAACAGATGACTGTTTATCTCGGCCGCGCCTCGGGCACTTGCCGGCGCATGCCTCTGAAGCGGCTGAACCCCTTTGTACAGGCACCTTATGTTACGGAACTCTGGTAGCCGGGATTGAAAAATCCATGGTTGAATTAATACATATATTAATTCAACCATGGGGAAATCTGCATCTGAAAATATTATCTGCAAACTAACTTGTATTTTCAATATTTTCATACATACCCGTCAAAAATAAGTAATTTGTAATTTTGTTGCATGAAGATA